TATTTACAAGACATTTATGTTCTCAATTCAAGTCTGAGCAACAGGTATATCAAAGCCTTTAAGTATAGGAGGAGACATTGGAGATTTTCCAGACAGATTGTGCAGTTATTTTGTTAAAAATAAACAAATGACCAAAAGCCAAAACAGGAACAGTAAACCCTGACATCTGGGAATGTTCAGGACCAAATTGATGCAGATTACAGTCTCCGATTTAGATGACACGATCATTTCTACTCATTTCGATGCAATTCTGTGTCACTTTGCACCATCTGCTACAGCATGAGTATATGAATATGCAATTATAAAAGTGGTCCAGATTCTTAAATAAAACATTTAAAGTGTTATTATAAGTGCAACTGCAAAATATAAAGTTTACAGAATCCCTTTACTCCCAGCAATGATTACAAAAAGTTACCTTAAAAATTCCTCTCTTGTAAATGGGTTAGCCAACTAAGCAAACTTCCCAAACCTCTTGAACTACAGCCATGCAAGCCTTCTAAGCTTAATACAAGTTGATTGGCTCCAAACCAGTTGATGAAAACTCAGCTAATTCCCATTGCTTTTCTGTAACCTTTCAAAGTTTGCTCAACAACTGACAGCTTGTTTTCTTCACTGACACTCACCATGCCCTCCAGGATTTTTCCAAAGACGACGTGTTTGCCGTCCAGCCACGGGGTCATGATGGTGGTGATGAAGAACTGAGAGCCGTTGGTGTCTTTGCCGGCGTTGGCCATGCTGAGCCAGCCGGCGGCGTAGTGCTTCAGCTTGAAGTTCTCATCGGGGAAACGGTCTCCATAGATACTCTTTCCTAGAATTACATTATTTTTTTAGCAACTTGTCGTTCTGCAAACATTCCCTCTCTGTACACATATTCACATCTCATTTGAATTGCTGCCAAAGGTTCATCTCTACTTTATCTGATGACATTTTATTACTCACAACACTGGGTCATTCTGAACAAGAGCATCTGCCAAAATGTCAAATAACCCCGACTCATGTGGTCACAATGGGCAAAGACAAATTGTGAAATACCTCTTGGCACAACGAGCTTTTTAAGTTTTAAATAATAAAATGCATTTCCCAATTAATAGTAAATGAATAAAACTCAGGATTTCATAGAAACAAAAAAGTTGCTAGAAAGTGCTCCTTTTCCTGAGTTTGCCACGTGGAATGTCTTTTTTCTAAAAGGTCATGAGACACCAAGAAAAATGTGTAAAATGCCTCGAGTCCTAAATGTTCAGGACAGCATATTTGACGAGTGGGATCTTGTAGAGACAACATCTAAATCCTGACCTAAATGCCAGTGTCGGTGGCCATCTTACCTCCAGTGCCGTCTCCTTTGGTGAAGTCTCCACCCTGGATCATAAACTCCTTGATGACTCGATGGAATTTGCTGCCTTTGTAACCGAATCCTTTCTGTTTAATTAGAACAAACACAATGTTAAGTTAAACAAAACTTACAAAAAGGGCTACCTGCTGCCAGTATTTGACATGAATGAGTGAAATTATTTGTTCAAAGTGTTTCTCCAGGACATGGGGGTTTACGGTTTGGGAAAGTAAAGAAGGATGTTGACTTAGAGGGAAACAAGTAAACATTGCAAATTATACCCCAAGACCCTTTCTGTGTCACACTACTGTGTAAAAAGAAGAAGGATGACTGCTTGAATTGTTCCCCCATTTAATTTGCAGTCAGTAGTGAAACTGGGGAGTCCAAGAGTGTCACACTTCGGGAACACATAACAAACTTAGATGCTCTCACCTCTCCTGTTGCCAAAGCGATGAAGTTGTCGGCTGTTTTGGGAACAGTTTTGCCAAAAACTCCGATGACAATTCTTCCAACTTCTTCATCTCCAACTTTCATGTCAAAGAACACCTAGAAAGTAAGTCAAAACATAAAGTTATTTTACACCCCATGGTCACATGTTAATGAGATTGACTCCATGCGATTCTATTCATGACCACTGCAATCGAGTTTTCCTTTGTTGGGGAGTCTGCCTGCAGCCAAACATAGTGATGGAATTATTGATAACAGCCAAAAGTGTTTTAAAGAGATATTCATTGTTTAAGGCAAGTTTCTCCGGGATATGGCACGGTTATAATGTGCCATTAAGATCAACGAAACGATTGTGTTTTTCACTTCAGTTCCGTTTTCCCCCCATCATAAATCAACATGCAAAAAAACACTAGTTTTGAATTAAAGTTTCAGAAAACCTACTTTATCTTGCAGAAGTAATCATTAGTTGTATTCTGACTCACTAACTCTTCACCTGAAGTTCAGAAAACAAGCACGGCAGCTTTTAAGAGGTATGCATTAATAAAGAAAATGTAATTTAGGCTTGTCAGTCTTTCTCTACAATAGTAGTTTGCATGTGAAGATGGGTCATTGTTAGTTTTGCACTGATGTAAATGTCAAACAAAATAGTGTGGACATTGCAAAGCGTCCTTATAACTGCAGACGTGGACAAACCTGCTGCACCCAGACACAATAGCATCTCTCTGAGACACAGAGGGCTAGCTACAGGGGAATAATCAATAGGTACAGCCTGAAACGGCAACTGCCTAAATGGCTGTAGGACATTAATATTGGTGCATTTGGAAAAACCAACAGTTAGGCCAAAATGCTAGCTACGACGGCTAGCTCCATTTAGATTAGCCAGGACTAAAGGAATGTCCTTTTCCACTCATTTGCTGTCTGCTAACCTGGTTTTATGCCATTGTATACGATTGTAAATTAGGTTGTGCATTACAATTAGCCTCATATTAGCCGCCTGTTAGTTAAACAAGACAAGGAGAAGCCGTTGGAGGCTAACTTTTCTGTGACGTGGCTTAACAGAATGCAGCTAGCTGTTAGCATGAAATGGTGAAGAACAGCTTTGATTTCTCTACATTATCGGGCTAGCAGTCGAGCTAACGGGCTAACAGGCTAACACCTACCTTCGCTGTTACTTTGGGGCCTTTCTTCTTCTCGTCCGCAGATGAGCCATTAGGGAAAGCGAGGAAAATCAGGGATCCCACAATGATCGTAATGGCCACAAGGAACTTCATCCTTCTCTCGCAGAGTCTAACCATCAACGAGAAAAAAAGCAGCCCGAGGACGGCCCTGTAAGTATTGCTACCTTTATATGAGTCGGGGTAAGGAGAGCGGTATCCGGGGTGGAGACTCTGCCAGGCGGCCGCTGCTGCTCCAGCTGCGCTTCCTCCACGACCACAGCGGGGGCGGGACTTCAGACACAGCAAGCCGACGCACAGGCCTCTGATTGGTTCATGTATCTGGCGTTTGAGCCAATCAGATGCATACGCGTTACAGCGCTCGGAGAGATTTCCCAGCATTCCTCAGCATCGAATTCAAATATAAAATATAAAACTTTGTAAAGTACACACTTTATTTTTCTTTCAATCTATCTAAAATCTGTCATTATTAAAGGCTACTTCTATATTTTTACATGATCACTTAAAAAAAAAAAATACTGCTACTTAGTTTTTTGTTATCATGGTGTACTTATCTGTTATTTGTTTTGACCTATTGTGTTTTTTATTATTAATAATATGTGCCTACTTTTTAATTTAATATGTAAGTGTATTCTTTTTACTTTATCTGCACTATTTTTATGCTGAAATAATACCTAAATGTCCCCACTTCGGGACAAATAAAGGAATCCTGATTCTAATAACTGAATTGTAATGATATTTAAAGCTAAAAAGTGATTAACTACAATAATATCAAATAAAACCAGATCAATTGTATTCTTCTGTAATCATACAAATTGTTTTATCACTTTTTTTGTATTTAAAGGTTTAAGAATTTGACTATGTTCTTTAATATACTCACATAAACTCAATCAAATCGGGTTAACTTTTGTTGTTTAACATTGATTTATACACATCTACTTCCGACCCATGGGACCTTATTTCGGAAAGATTATGTATTGAAGTCAATGGCGAGAGAAAACTTATCTTTCGATCCCGTTTGAATTGTGCCACGAATTACACATATGATGTTTGTCAATCTTAAAAAATTATTTCCATGTCAAAAAAGTCACAGTTTGTCGTAAAACTAGAAAGACTACAAATCCCAGAATCCCGGTCCTGCATGCTGGCTCTTACGGAACCGACTAACTCCCCTTGTGTGTATGTACAGCTCTCAACATGCCCAGACTTGTAGTGTTTTTCACCTCTTTTAATACTTTTCGCCTCATTCTGAAAGAAAGAAGTGAAATGTGACGGCCGTCTTGGTGTGTGGTGCGAGACGGGAGATGTAGTTCATTGAGCGGTTTCACACACAAAAAAGTGTTACTTCACAGTTTTACGACACATTTTTATTTTTTTGACTTGCAAAATTATAATTTAAATTGACAAACATCATATGTGTAATTCGTGGCACAATTCAAACGGGATCGAAAGATAATCTTTCTCTCCCCATCGACTGAAATAAGGTCCCATGGAGCTCCCCCGGAAAGGGAGGGACTTCGCCTCTCTACAATGCAGTGTATGCATTATGCTTTTTATATGCATTTATTTTTGCATTGGTGAGTACATGACATTTTTACATTTGAATGATTTTTCTGTCAAAAAGAAATTATGAAACATTTCTTAGCGATGAACATTTTAAAGAAGTTTGATTAAAACGAGACCGTTATGGGGTTAGGGTTAGAGTTAGGTGGTAATCTCAGGGACATGATAACCCTAGTTGAGGCCCTGGTGGAAAAACAAGAAGCAGCTGGCCCAACAGAACAATATTACTTTTCATTGTATATGTATCCTGTCACCTTAAGTTAACTTTATTAAACAATATGCACAGTAAAACCCTCTAGTGTCTATACAGAACCCAGTCTCACCACATTTCCAGATTAGCACATTTTTATCTTTTTTGTAGACGTTTTTATTTATTTAAAAACGATTGAACTTGCATGACATCCATGTAAGACTTTAACCAATAATAAGCACTAATGTGAAGTTCATCTTGGCATTGACTTGCACAGTAACCTACATCACCACAAAGAGGCCTCTCCATATATATTTTAATGACAAACTACATGGAAATGAAACATGATGACAGTTACAATTGTTAAAACATGAGACACAAATTATGAAATTAGTTAAGATGAAAAGATTGTACTTGCTAAAAATAAAGGGGCTGGGGTTCAGAGTACAGGTTACATTCACCTCTGCAAGCACTCCTGCCCCTTCGTACTAGTGCAAATAATCAACTCTGTTCAACAAAAAACCGCCCTTCTTCTTGTTGCTGTACGTTTGCATTAAGACTCCATTATTGCATGCCTTCAGCGGCCATGTGAGGTATACAAATACATTGTTCTTACGGCTATGCAATGTATACTAACATGAAGCAGGCGCTCCCAAGTAAGCTAAAAAAAACAACCAAACAACCCATGAAACAGCATAATGTACCGATAGGCCAGAAGCTCTTCTTGCTGTATGTAACAGTAAGATTTTCCAGCCAATCGTGTTACAGTTACATTTTACAAGTGAGAGAAGGTAACAACTGACAGAATGACCATGTACAAAAAAAACAGTAAAAAAATATACAAAGAAGTACAGTAACCAGGATAACATAATGGTGTACAGCTCATTTTGGAATTTAATTTCACCATCATCTGTGTTTTATCGCCATCAGAACCTTTTCAATTAATCATCCGGTGCATCTCATTGTAAACTGAGCTTTACTGCATAAAGAAGGATCCCCTTCAAAACCACACTTGCATTTTATAGTGTAGAATCTCCTTATTTGATCATATACAGACAATGCATCAGGAGTGTTAAAGCAACAGAGATTATAATAACTGTTACTATGCAGAGTTGAGAAACTTTAACATCTTAAACAACTGAGAAGACTAGTATTTATCTTTTAGTGACAAATAACAAAAAGGTCAAGTATGTCTTAACAGTCTAAACATTAATTACACGTAAGTAAGTCACCCATTGAGTTGAAGAAACACAGAACATCAAGATTTCCACCTAGATTCTACAATATACTAAGACGCTCATCAGTTTCCAGTCAAACAGAATTATTTATATGTGTGAGTTATAATATGTCAGCTGATGTGATGCTAAGTATGAAGTGGCTCTGAAATATGAATACGGTATTATTAGAACTTCTTAAACTCATATTTTTCTAAAGGCACAGCATACCTAAGATATGCAGGTCAGAGTAAATTAGGTGAGCCAACAGAACTCTTTGGAGTTTGTGAACATGGCTTTGAGTCGCGGCCGATGCATAGAGTCAGGTCGCCTCGCAGCCCAGACACTTCTGTGAAGCGCCGCCTCACTTTCTGTGTCTGCAGGAGGATTGGAGGAGGAGGAACAGAGGAGAGCTGGCTGGAGGAGTCATCAGGCAGGATTGAAATCTATCACCATCGATCACATCCTTAAACTCAGTGGAGATCCAGAGGGGAAGACACTGGTTCAGGAAACAGAAGCCTGAACAACCTTAGAAACTCCGACCTAACAATCTCAGACTTCAAGGAGTGTCAGATTGAAGCAAACCTCAGAAGGGCTGCTGGGCCTCGAACTCGGAGTAAACGAGTCCCTCTGCTGAGATGGCGTCCCCGAGCCCGACTGTCCTCAGAGGCTGTCGGCACACCAGCACGGCCGTCAGGTGGAAGGTGACGTTCCCTCTCCGCCACACGGTGACCGGCTGCTCTGGGATCAGGGACAGCTGCTCTCGGGGCTCAGCGTGTGAGCTGTAAAACTCCAGCGGGGCTTTCAGCTCCACCTTGCTGGGGTCCACAGCCTGGAGGCCACACGCCTGACTGCTGGCGACCCGCGCTCCGGCCATCACCGCGGACGCCTGGTTCCCCCAGTACCCGTCCACCGTGGCCAGGATGTGGTAGGCCAGCGTGTGGAAGTGAACGCGAGTCAGGTCCGCCTCGGAGGATGGTTCGATGCGGCCGTGCTGCTCCAGGATCCACAGGAGGATGTCGCTGACCCGTCCCACGTCTGGGATCCCTTTCCAGGCTACCATCTCAGCATGAGGCCCCTCTCCAGCCTGAGAGAGGAAGAGCAGCTCCTGCTCGTTCAGCCCGATGGAGCTGACAATGGGCATAACCTGCTAACGGGAAACACAGAAAAACATGAATTAAAAATACAGAACTTTCATCATAATGGTTCAGGTATTGTGTGATAATTTTGTTGATGAGGGGGAGTGATAATGTCTGTAATATGTTGATAATGGTTGCCCAATATGAACATCGATAGCATCAAGAAATGGTATGTCCTTTTGGTGTCCAAGGACGGCATGAATGATTAACCCTGATGTAGAACAGGTGCCGTTATGTAAGCATGTATGTCCTATTTATGTTATGTCTGTGAAAAAAATACAGCACTTGGATTATGAACCCACTTATCCTCTCGGGGAAGTTCACTACATGCAACATGACAGTTTCCGGACATGTACCTCCTGCATGATGCTGTTCATGTAGTCTTTGTCCGTCATGCTGGCCAGCTCCAGGTGGATGGGAATATCTCTGGGGATCTCAGATATGGCTAACACAGCCTGTGAAGAGAAAACAAGTAGAAGATCAGAAGAAGAACTAAAACAAAAGCGGGAACATTTAAAAAAGGCATGTTTGTGTATGATGCATGTTAACTTTGAAATGCCTTCAGCGCATTACAGCAAATCATAGCTTTTCAGTTAATTAATGTTTTATTTGTCATTTCTTTTTCACTTGTATAAGCTAAGAGTAAAATATGGGTAATCCGTAACCTCTATGTAATAACCAGACATCAACAGAAGCAGACATGGCGAATACAGTCGCTGGTTTATTTATGTCTGTAGGCCGTTGATATGAGTGTGGAATGAGCATATACAACGTTAGCTTAGCCTGGTCGACCCGATCTTCATTCAGAAAACAAGCATTTTAAAAGGTTTTTCGCCTGCCGTCTTGTCTGCAGACGTGTCAAGCATTAATTCATGGTTTTTACTAAGCGGTATCAGTATGTTGTTACTTCGGCATCATTTAGAAACGTGTATTACAATTTAATCACTGTAAAATATGTTCATTTTGTTGTAGTTGTAGCTCCCGAGCCAGCGCGTCTTGTTTCAGGGTTCTTACACCTTTTCCAAAGTCAAATTCAAGCACTTTTCAAGCATTTTCAAGGTGCATTTTCAAGCTTTTCAAGCATCTTACAGCTGTTGTAAATTACATATTTATATACACATACTTATACTCAAATGATTATTTCCCTACCTCACATTAAATCAGATGTTCTTTATGCTATAAACAACCAAATGTGTGTTTCATAATAGCATTCTACACGAGGATGAAAAATTAAAAATGTTAGAAAAGAAAACTATGTTTAATATTTCAAAATGAGTGACCCATCTGTACGTAGACTGGGCATCCCATATAACCTGGCTGAGCCAATATAAAACAATCAGCCAAATAACTTTTCAATATATTATTGATTACTATTTTTGAGGTACTTTTAGGTTGGCAGTAAACACAAGTCAGAGGTAAATGATGTACTTTGACTCCACTACATGTATTTAATACCTTTAGTTACTTTACAGATGTGGATGAATGATGTGAAATATAATCAAGTGTTAAATCAGACTTTAGTTCCACCTGGAGTAAATTCACAAGCTACTCTGCAGTATACAAAGTCATTCAAACTAGCTGCAACTTTACCAGCTTTGATAACACTTTAATGATCAATCATTATAAAACATATCATATACAATTATTAGGGATGCTCCGATCGCCAATTTTGGAGCCGATCGCCGGAATCAGTATCGGCCGATACCGATACCGCTCTCTTTTCCTCTCTCCCCCTCTCTCTCTCTCCTGACAGCCCGTCAGTATCTCCTGCAGCTCACTGATCCAGTAATGAGCGACCCGACAGTGAAGAATAAATATATTTATAACTAGTTTAGCTAGTTCCAGAGGTAGATAAAATAGCTAAGTGTGTTAGGTCTAACTCTTAATGTGTGTTCTGCTCCGCTCACCGGTCCGTCACAGCGGGTGGAGCTGCAGGATTTCTGCTTCACACACACGTTGCATACCGCTATTTTATTGTCATTTTCAGACACTTAAAATACTGCCAGACTAGTGAAGCCATTTTGGCGAGCTTGTTTTGCCGCGCACAGAGAAAAGTGTCATGTATTTTACATGCAACGATAGCCTAATCTAAAATGCTCTACTATGGCGTACCTTTCGTGTGGTGTGTGGCTCGTCAGCGCAGACTCTCGCATCGTTATTGTTGCACACTTTGCAGGAGGCTACTCTTGGGCTTCGCTTGACCCTCGTCTTAGCCATGGCTTGTATTTGTCTTCTGCTAGCCAACGCTCGTTGAAACGGCAACCTCCTGGCATACTGTCATCTATCACTCTCATCAGAATGCCCAGGTCACACGTAACAAAAACACTTGCCGGTCACGCGCATTGCGCGGGAAGGCCGGAGCGGAGCTGTTTTATGTAAAAGCGAAGCAATTAAGCGCGCTCCGACTTCTTTATTTTCTTTTAATCTAAAAAGCGAAGTAAAGCATTTACAATTTCAAGCACTTTATCCCAAATTCAAGCACCATTCCCAAAATTCAAGCACTTTTCAAACCTTGAAAACACCTCGTACAATTTCAAGCATTTTCAAGGATTTCCAGCACCCGTACGCACCCTGTTGTTTGAATGATGCGAGTAAACACAGCTGGCAGCCGCGGTGAAACTCGAGCGTTTAGAGCGATGCGATAGGAGCGATTAGAGCGAAGCGAATATTCGCATCGCGTCCGTTGTGAACGCAGCATAAGATTTATACAGCACATTGTGACTGGAAAGCATAACAAAACATGAATTTAGTAAATAGGAATCAGGACAATTGTAGAAACTTGCAAAAAAACACCAGCTCTGTTGATTGATAACAGTTAAGGACAGTTTTCGGCCACTGACCTCCTTCAGTCTATCCTCCCACAGCTCCCGGCCCTGCCCCTCCATCATGTGCAGCCCCGACAGCACCACCAGCTCCGGATCAAACTCCTCCAGACTCTCCACGAACGTCTCCAGGGAGCTCATCTCCCCGTTGGACACATCGTGAGAGAAGATGAAGCGGTTGGCTTGAGGTGCCTGTGTCGAACCCCACTGTTCACCTTGAGACAGAAAATCACTTTTATATTAACACATCTTAACAGACTTAAGGACTACTGTAGCTGCAGCTTGCTCTTCTCTTCACCTGCTTTATACTCCAGGATGAGGTGATACTCATCCGTCTCCTGTATGGAACCCGGGGGAACCATTATCTGCTCGTCCAGCATCTCGTGAAGTTTAGGACCAATCGGCCCACATAACAAAACCTGTCAAATACAAATATGAACAGTCATTTTAAGGTGGGGTTTTATTTACACTACAATACAACGTGACTCCCTGATTAAATAAAGTACTTATTTGGTCAAACTTGCTCGGACTTATGTGGTATTATGTTTTTGTAGTTTGTAGGATTGATATACTGAACCAAAAAAGCCAAGATAATGTCAAAGATATTTTTTAATTCCTGAAATTGATTTCAAAGACCAGCTTAAATATCCCATATTTTTTTTAACAGGGTTATATAATAGCTCATTAATGAAGCGAAAGAATAAGAGTTTACAACAGAAGTATGAACATGGTACTGTACCACGAGGTCAGGGTATGTGGCGAGCTTCTGAGCAATGAGGGCAGCGTTCCCTCCCACGTACAGCTGCAGGAAGACAAAAGGTTAACAGAAGATCATTTCAAACTTTATACAACAACAAGGAGTTAGCAGAGTAAATGATCCTTGCCTTGGCCCCGGGGTACTCTGCCGCTGCTCGTGCGATCCTCTGAAACACCTCGCTGTCGCTGAAGAAGCGCTCGGCTGCAGCTCCGCGCTCCATGTAATGGATGAAGGCTTCCTTCAGGTCCTCTTTGGAGTGCAACACCTCGTGATTCAGGCCGGAGCCGGGGTCCACAGCCAGAGCCTGCAGCAGCCCCACGCCGGAGACCACCACATCCACACAGGCATTCACCCTAACAACAGGAGAGAACCACATACAACAAGTTATTTGATAGTTAAACTTTTTAATGGTGTGTTTGAAGAGTAATCGGACTATATCACCAACATTGGAGGATTGAGCAGCTGTTTGAGGCCTAGAATAAAGTTGGTCTGGTGTCTGTATGTGTGTCAAAGTGTTTGTGCATAAATAGACAAACCCTTTAAAATCTAAAGAGGCCAAGGAATTTTAAAGACACAGGGAAATTATAACATGAAAAACCATTTCCTATGGTCTTACACTGAATCCCTGTGCGGTGTGTGTTTGAAATGAAACACTTTTTTATCCATTTCAAATTGTATTTAAATCCCTCATGTAATGATCTCCATCGACTAAGGCTGGGCAATGTAAAATATCACAATATCTTTTTGAGAATATACACCATACCAATGATGTCACAATATTGTTGGGTTGGCCATTAGTGCTTTCACAAAGTATTCACAGCTACACATATTTACAACTTTTACACTCATTTCAGAAGTTGCAGACAACATTTTGTTAGTGGTTCTAAAAAAGGGTTCAGAGACCTTTCACTAAACTTAGTTTCAGAATCTTGTTTTAATCATATGTTGACAATTAGCGGCATAATATAGTGAACCGTAGACGGACCACTTTTGGACAAAATGTACTTTCCATTAAAAGGCAGCTCATTGTGGAATAGCCTCCCAACTGAGATACGGGATTGTCCCACTCTCAATAGTTTCAAAGGTCAACTCAAAGAATGGTTGAGAAACAACCAGACGTGCAATCACCGCTAAATGCACTTTAACACAGGGGTATCTCCTCTCGCATTTTATGCATCTCTTGTATCATCTCTTGCACTTAATATGTCGTTGCTGCTATAGTGTACTGCATGTGGTAAATACTTGTGTGTGCTGCTCTTGCTCTTTTGCATATCATGTATTTATTTTTTGCTATGTTTACAAATGTCATGTTCTTATATGTTGTCTGTCAGGGACTACGGATGGAAATGAGCTCAAAGCTAAAATCCGGCATATTTACACTTGAAGCATTATTTGTCTAAAGTGTTCATTAATGTGCATTGTCCCTATTCAAATAAACAATTAAATTAAATGAAATAAATCGGAATTATGTTGGCCAGCATAATCGTGTCACAAAATGTTCATTTTCTAACTATTGTGATGCTATGAACTATTTATTGTGTAAATTGGAATGATCCACATGCAGGCTCCCGGGTCTATCTGTGTGCTTTCTTCCTGTATGTACCTGCCTGTGTACATGACATAAGCTGCTCATAACCAATTGCCCCTTGCGGGATTAATAAAGTTGTTAATTGATTGATTAATTTCAAGATTCAAGGCTTTTATTGTCATGTGTACATAGCTACAGTGTAGTTATGACAATGAAAATCTTAGGCCACAGGCTCCTCCAACAGTGCAACACAATAAAACAGATAATAGTGCAATCAATAAAATGAAATATCATATAATAGAAATAGTGCAGAAAAGTCTATATACAAGTAATTCGAATATTGATATAAGTTACAGCCAGATGAATGTTATGGGTGTTCTTTCAAAAGTTCAGGTGTTTAACAGTCTTATGGCCTGTGGGATGAAACTGTCCCTGAGTCTGGTGGTTTTAGTCCTGATTGATTGATTGATTGATTGATTGATTGATTGATTGATTGATATCACCCACAGTTCCCCCCTGTGACTCACCCTACAGCCACTCTGCTCCACTGCCGGGTGGGCAGAGTGATCAGCGTCTCCCAGGCGGAGGAGACCACCTGCTCCAGGCTCTTCTGGCTCTCCGGGGGGGTCTGGAAGTTCGGCAGGCCGATGTACTGCAGGATCTGCTCCGGCAGCTCCGAGCCGCCGTGGTAGAAATACCCGACAGCCAACGCCAGCAGGGCGGCCGCTGAAGCCTTCCTCCACATGATGCTCACGCTGCTGCAACACAACACAACCTGTCACCAACTATTAGGGATCAGAATGACTGATTTGATTCAAGATTCAAAGGTTTTATTGTCATATGCACAAAGCTACAGTGTAGAAATGGCAATGAAATTATTCTGACCTGAGCTCCTCTAACAATGCAACATATATAATAAAATACAAAATAAAAAGTAGTGCAAAAAGTCTATATACTATATTTGTTCTTGTGTGATGGAAATTTAGAGCTACTAATGGATGTAATTATATAGTCTTTTATTACAGCTTGCTTGAAACAATAATAAAGATAGAAAACAGAAATGTATAGATCACATTTAGATATGACTAAGTAAAAGTACTTATTGGAGTACAAGTACAAAAGCATTGGCAACAAAATCTTCCCATTTTGGAATCGTACCTACTATACTTCTGGATTATAATGAATGATGCTTTATTTTGCTACAAGAGTTGTAGCTGGTAAGGTTGAGCTTAATTATTTATAGATTATACATTATATATGGTATGTATACTTTACATATTGCTGCTGGGTGGCTCAGTCGTCGTGATAATGCATTATAATGTATAGTTCAAAAGATATTCTTAATCTGCAAGTACATTGAGTTCAAATAAATGAATAAAGTGAAGTACAATGGAGTAAACGTAGAAAGATGCAATGGATGTATTGTGAAGTATCTACAAAATAACACTACTTGAGTACTTATCTACTTTTCACAACTGCTTGCATGTATTTATTCGTTTAGGATAGACTAATATAAAATATTCTATATTTACATGACATAATGAAAGGAGCAATTCTGCAAGTACTTTCACTATTTAAAAGGATGTTAGTACTTCTTCCACCAGCAGCTACCCAGAAGGAGTGCCTTAACCACCCTAATGCTAATGATATGCATTGAGTGGTACTGCCCTTTAAAATACAAGTTAACTATGCAAGAATGTACTTTATGGTACTACAGCCTGCAGGGGTAAAGTTACTGCTAACGTGTACACAATATTTGTTAGCTCACATGCTAGCAGCAGCAACACAGTGAGTCTTTAGCTTCACTTAATCAAAGCTAATCTGTCAGTAGCAATTAGCCTAAAGCTAGGCTTAGCATGCAATCTAATTTAGAGTCGAGACAAGATACTTTTCTCTGCACACACTCAGCTTTAATAAGAGCCTTTTAGTTAAAAATAGAAGTAGCTTTGCAGTTGTTAGCAGCACGTACCGATAATATTGTGTAGGCTTCAAGTTCAGTTGCACGGGAAGAGGATACTGTGTCCTGGTGAGTCACATTAACAGGGTTTAATGTGCAGATTCCGCCGGTGCAGCGACAGAAACTGAAGAGGTCCAACGGTACGTGAAGGAGGAATGACTGACAACAGCTTCCGCCTCACGCTCTGCGCATGCGCATCAGCAGGGTACATCCACAGAACAGAGTGTGAAGAACACAGATGGTGAAGGAAAGAACAAACTTAAAAAAAAAAAAACGTTTTGAATTGTGCATGATAGAAATATCAGCCCATGAAATGTGACTCCAGTGGCTCTCATGTTTTCCTTGATTCATTATAATGCCCAAATATGTTCTGTTTTACCCAGCCAGCAGTGTATAGTGAAGAAACACACACATAAAGTCATGTATTATATATGATTTATTGGACACTTTGCATGATGAGTACTTTAAGTAGATGTTGATATTGATACTTAAAGTTTAAGCAAAACAACTTGGAAGGGTTGCACGATTTAAAGGGTATTTCACATTTTTTACAATCAATTTTGAAAATGTGCTTAATAATTGGTGGATGGAAACGCAGGAAAAAGTTCAGGCGTAAATCATGATTATTGATGGCTGGATTTTATTTATCTACTGTGTTACGCCCAGGTCTAGGGGAACCTAGGCGCAGCACAACATTTGGCATTTGGACAGCCAATCAGCTACCAGGCACCACCTGCTTACTCACACGCAGCCACAGACACAGGAGGAGGAAGAAATATCTGCACACAAATGACATAACGACCCAGGGTCGTAACAACTGTCATACATATGGCCTACTGAGTCTTACTTTCCCCAGTCAGTCACTTTTCTTTGGTATTTTTATATATATATTTGGTTACCTTATACATACTTGTGGGATATTTGCCATGCAAGGATGGTCTAATAAAATATGCTATTGGGTTGCATTTTGGGAAATGTAGAATGCAGTGTTTTAAGAGATTGACCCATCGAAAAGTTAGCATATCTTGGCCTCTGCTGCACCGTGAACGTTTCTTTGAAGAAAAATATGTCTCTCACAAGTCTCCTAAATGTATAAAAGTGCTGTGTGAAGAAGACGCCTTCATCACAGTTGGCATAGGGGCATGGTAAAAGGCACACTGAGGGAAACACATTAATAACTTTGCTGGACATTGGTCAAATAAAACCCAAGTCATTATTTGTTCAAGACAGCTTTATTTGAAGTCATACAATGCTGTGCCAAAGTAACCTGCTTACCCTCTCGTTCAAGGTTGTGAAGTCCAAACATTGTAACATGCTGGAGTACTCCCTTAAGTCTGGTGCATAATTCAGCCGAGCATTACCCTCCATTGCACTTGTTGAATTTGAATACATTTTAACATTTTACTTGTTACTAGCACCAGACATACTAATACTTGTAGTATAGACAATGACTCAGAATCAAGAATACACGAGTACGTTTTCACTCTAATCCTTTTATACATCCAGAGTGAACAAGTCCAACCAGATCTTAAATCTCACCAAACAGGAGGCATGGCAAAGCACCACTAAACCAAAACTAACTAACATAATGAAAGGCTTAAGCTCCTTTCTTCGTGCCTCGGGCAGATATTCGTTATTGTTCTGCTGCGTGTTGCTGCTTGTGAACTATTTCCCTCCAGGTTGAGGTGAGGCAGCTGAAAACTGACACCTTCTACACCAGCGCACTGCAATACATCTAAAACATCACAAACTTAAATCATCATTCACTATAAAAATAGTTTTAGGAAGATGCTTTCAGAAACCAAACCATTTCCCTATATTCTTAAGAGTTCTATGTCACTAAAAAGACACATGTTGGGGTTCTCAAGCAAAAATAACTTGAATTTTACTACACATTCAATATCTTTTTGTCTTCTTTTGCATTAAACTGATGTCTTGAAGGATGATTATAAATTACTTACACTTATACTTAAAGTGCACCTATCATGCTATTTTTAGGAAATAGCATAGGTCTCAGATATATAAAAAATAAATAAAAAACATGTCTATGATTATTTTCTAAGTTTTATGGAATTATTTACTTGTTTGTTTTTTGAGGTAATGAGTGGGGATGCAATATTATGTGATTATATGTTTATCAACTGCTTGTTTTATTTAATTGATGTATTATGCTTTTTATTTTAATGTAAAGAATAACGTATTTGTATTATTTATTAGTTTTGTTGTTTGGAAAAAATGAAACTTTGTAACATGTTGAAATGCTTAAAGGTCACCTATCATGCTATTTTTAGGCAATAGCATAGGTCTCAGATATATACAAATATATACAAAACATGTCTATGAAGTGTTTTGCTCAAAATACCAAACAGATCACCCATTCTAGCCATGCCTCATATCCCTCTATTTCACTTCCTGTTTCAAAAGTGCTGATTTGGGGTATAAAGCTTTAAAAAAAAAAATGATAATAAAAAGGAGGGGGCTGAGCTCATGCGGGACCCGGCAGCTACTGTCTAAACTAAATACTGCCGTGATGAAACGCCATATCATGGATTATCAAGGATTATTTCTGAAACAGTATGGAGCTCAAAGGCTTTCTCTCTTGCCGGTTATACCACAAGGTGAGTTCCTTTTTATTTCCTGCTTCTTCACACACATGCTCTGTACAGTACAGGTTAGCTCTGAGTGTTAGCGACGCTAATATAAACACAGACCATATTACGTCCAAAACAGTCGGACATTGTTTCTGATAGCAACTTTCTGATAGTGCCGTGGGTCCACATTTCCGATATTGCATCAGATCTTTGCAACAAGGTCAAACAGTTTTGGCTTTTTAACATGAGAGATTCCCGTTGCAATGCTTTTAGTCTCTTACTGGTATTAACTTGCAAAAGGCTCTGGGCAATCTTTTTCTCTGATTGTTGCTTATTTAATCATTCATATGTAATTCCATAGGGAAATACTTTAGTAAAGCATGACCTGGGGCCTCATTTATAAAGGGATATACGCTCAAAAAATGGCGTACGCCAGTTTCTACGCAATGTTTGCGATTTATAAAATACTAACTTGACGGGAAAATGTGCTGTCCTCCACGCAAACTCTAACCCATGCGTACGCACTAAGCACACAAACGGGAGAGACGAGAAACTGCGACACCGTTGGCAGAAGGAAGAATGGAGAGAAATATGTGGAAATAATACCATAAATAAAATGTTACCTCTCATTTATTAAATATGAAGAATTCATTTTCAAACATTGATTAAAGCCAATCTTTAAATGATTAAACAAACGCCAGTTTGAGACTCCTCAGTGCACACAAAAACATAACTTGGAGAAATAAATAAATACGGATATGTTATTTAAAACCACCTCGAATATGTTGTGTTAATGTTATGAAATGTTTTCTCATAAATTATGCGGTAAGCAGGAGGACAGAATTACGTCTAAACTGACGCCGTTTTGCATTTCTATAGGTTGTAGATACGAGCATGGTTTTATATACTATCACGTTTAATCGTGTTTTATGCCGTTTGCCAAGACTTGATAAGTCGCTCGTAAAACACAGGAGGTATGGAAACTAAGAACACCATATGTGGTAAATTGTACAGCTAATATAACACAATCCATTAGTTGTATTTCCTTTAACTGGTGGATTATGGATATATAGTTGCTGATCGACAGCTGGAACACAAACCACCAAATACAACAAAAATAATTCAGATCCAGTCGTCATGACTCCACTCCGGAGGGATTCCCCGATCATTTCTTACAGTTTCTCATCAAGGGGGTGTCTCCTGTCCCCGGGACAAACACACTGCCTGAGGAAGGTTATGTGTATTTTTTTTGTCATTAACTTTTTTCGGACCACTTATTTATTTATTTTGGTGACGATCCGACCTCCATGCTGCTACTCTGGTTCAAACTGCATCCACCAAACAATATGATTTATCTCGACCTCCCCACAATAACCAAAATCTGACACGGTGTGAGATGTCTTTTTTAGCTGTTCTATCGTAATTTCCTGCGATCTTCTTCATGCAGTCAGTCAAAATGAATGAATGAATGGGCGTTTCTTTGACTATGTATAGGCAAATATGGGCGTTACGAGCAAGTTACGAGTCGATTGTGATTTATAAAGGGAAACAGGCGTAGGGAGTGCCGTACGCACTTCCCTCGCCGGTACGCAATGTTTTGTGAATCGGAAAATGGCGGAAAATGTATGTACCTATTTTTGTGCTTTGTACTACGTAAGCAACCTTCCTACGTCAATCCTACGCAAGGCGTTATAAATGAGGCCCCTGGTTGCCTCACTAGTGTCCCCAAACTAAATAAATGTGTTTTGACGGATTCAAAGTCAAAACAGGAGTGTGTCCACATGTCTCGTGCCAGTTTTTCAAAATGAACAATATTCTACAGCTCAGGTTGAAATACAGAGACACAGGATGAGACGTGTCTGATTTTTTATTATAAATGTCAATTCAAACAACCTCATACAAAAGTACAAATAACTCCCCAACATTGTTTCAGTATCAAAGGCTCATTGTGATTGACCTAACACTAGAAAATAAAACTACGTTCAACGAATTCAAGTTACTACAAATGTACATGAATGTTAGGGACTTCTATACTCAAGTATCAACTGTGACAAAACAATATATAAAAAAAGACCTCTACTGTATCTCACGCCTGGATTTCAAGTAATTTCTACATTTCCACATTGCTCCTCTACTCTAAAATTAAACTAAGCTACAGTATGGCTTGAAAGAATAAAAGACACGTTTGCCTGTGGTCTCCTTTCACTCCCACATCTTCATACAAATATATTTGTGTGCTTATTTAACTGAATAAAAACATACTTAGTGACTCATTTTCAAGATGAATTTGGGATTTGGCTTCACTTTAGTGATATCAAAAGGCTAAGAAAAGGTTGAACAATACTACAGATAACGTAACGGAAATACAAAGCCTGAGTTTTGGGTTTAAATCCTACTGGATTTCAGACAAAATGATCCTCCATGTGACCCATTTCCCCTGTATCATGCACCAATGGCTTTTTAGTTGTCCTTCTTGCTAGTTGTGTGTATTTAACTGTATTGTCATCTACTCTGAAACATTAAACCTAACATTTAGCTATAGTTTCAGGCGTCTAAAGAAGCACTGGGGTCGGGCTCCGTGAGGACGGGGGCGGTGAAGCTGACTCGGACATCCCGAGGATATAAACCCTGCAGAACTCCGTCCACAACAACATCCGGAAGATCTGAAAACACAAGACAGAGCTCAGAGTTTATCCTGTGGAAAGATAGTTACAGAGGCTTTTAAACGCCAACAACAAAACACACTCTTCTTTAAACGTATTTCTTACCTGATGTGCGTTCAGAGAGATAAGGATCCTTATAGAATCCCAACACTCGCTGATTTGGTAACGGATAACTGAGGACACACAAGTTAAATATGATTGATTAGTCATTTGAAATGAGTCACAGAAAAAAGTTATTTAAAAATCAACATGTGTACACAAATAAAAACCTTTATCATGTGTATGTTAGAGCAGTGGTTCTCAACTGGTGGGTCGCAACCCAAAAGTGGGTCGCGGACCCGTTTCGAGTGGGTCGCAGATGTGTGAGTGAAGAAAAAAATAATTGAAAATAAATATATAGCCTATATATATAACTTTTATTTTGAAGGCCCGATGTTCCAAAGCTGTGCATGCAGTAGTAGGCGTTGGACTGGAAGTACCGGAGACCATAAACGGTTTTGAAAACTTCTGTCACGTAGTGATCATCTTCTCAATAAAACATCTTTGCTGATTTTTTTTCGAGTCTTCTGGCCAATCAGAATCAAGATTGTTGCCGGAAGTCCCCACGGAGAATAACTCTGCGGTAGAACTATTCTTTATACATCCATGGGTACAACTTCAGATACAAATGAACACATAATGAAATATGACCCCCGGTTTGATGATTGACAGGTTACAGAAAAATGGGGGCTATCTACCCTACCCACAATTCACACAGACTATCTCCTCTTTGCTCTTCTCACTGTGAGGAGCAGCAAATATTATTAATATGTTGGGTAGTAATAGATTTATTTATTTTCTTCTCAGAGTACCAGAATTTGTAGTTTACATGTTAGTATTTCTAAAAATCTCCTGGGGGAGACCCCCCTTCTGGGGTTGGGTTTTCAGCATGTCTGCCTTTTTATGTTATACAGTTCAGCTTTGATTCCATCATCTCATTAAACCTTTTTTTAAAGCATTCTTTAGTTCTGTGAAGGGGTATATGTACTGTACTTCACTTTAATTCATATTGTATGCTGAAAAGCGTATATATTACAGCACGATTTTTTGTTGAATAGATTTGAGTGGTTCAAATTTTGGGTCGCGATTTATTGACAAAGGAAAAAGTGGGTCCCGAGGCCTGACCAGTTGAGAGCACCATTTTTTATTTTTGGAATGTACCTGAAGTAGGTTGTTTGCTGATTGTTATAAAAAACACAACCAATAAAAAACACGTATTAATGCGTATATGCAGATTTTCTTTTACCATGGCCACTAGACAAATATGTCTCAGGTTTTTTTTCTCTTGTTTCGCATTCAACTTCGCATGTGCCAAATAACAGGGTTAATAAAAGGGTAAACAAGATGCAGTAGTTATTTCTGTTTTGCATCTCTCACTTGTCCCGATTGTGTTGATTTGGGGGGCAGTGAGTGGGTGTTTCTCAATGTCGAGGAAGGCTGCTCCAGAGCCACTATTTCAAGCATACTACGTCATCGAGTGCCGCCGACGGACTGTTCCTATGTCCAGCATACTTGGAATTCTACCGAGCCCGGGGTACTCCGTAGCGAGAAATTTCGAGGCTGCACATGAGTAGACTCCGCGGTCTTAAAATCCCCACAATGCTTTGCGCACGGACCAATTTGGACAAAAATCTGTGGCTGAAAATGTAAGGCGGGGCCTCTCATATGACGCACACCTGCACACTTGCTCGCCTGTTCCACTCTTTGTTTTCCGAATGCCAGGAAAGATTCTTGCCTCGCTTCTGAAGCAAGTGACTCGGAAGACATGTGCTACCAAGCAAGCGTACTCGACATTGAGAAACACCCAGTGTGTCATTACCCACCTAAAGTGGAGGCGGACCTGAGGATTCACCTACGCTCTGACACAGGATATAGAGGAAATACTAAAAAAGTAATCTTACCTGTAATCCTGACTGTCCAATTCGTCAAGTGATCTGAAATCAGAGCACATCATTTACAGATTTACTGCAAGGACACTCTCAAAATACAGGTTATTATACAACTCTAAAGAGTACTTTATCATACAGAGAATATTTGTTTTATAAAGAGAATCATTTTAATGTTTTTAGACTGTAAGTGTAAATATGCACATTGACATTTAATTTGATCTCGTTGCACTGTCATCGCTACTACCTCTGCTTTTACCACTCTTATTTATTTGGTTATTTGTGTCTATTTTTGACTGCAGTGAGAGAAAGACATTTCGTTGTACTTTGACACACACTCCCATTTACAGTCTGTATTGTTCTACATAATTAGTAGTTATGTTTTATACACTTATAAGTGCAGTGAAAACTAAAACTCAATCTCAGGATTTTAACTAGTGTACTGTAATATTTCTACTTATTTCTTCTTCCTTGATCAGATGATATTAAAGAGTCATTGATGCTCTCTACACCACAGTGAAATCTCTATAAAGTTGTTTTATGTTGCTGCATTGCCCCAATCCAAAAACAGAGGAGCTAAATAAAGAGACGTGTCATCCATCTTGCAGTGAGGGGACAGAGGACAAGGGACAGGGGACTCAGGACAGAGGATAGAGGGCAGAGGACAGAGGGCAGAGGACACAGGATAGAGGGCAGAGAACACAGGACAGAGGAGAGAGGGCAGAGGAGAGAGGGCAGAGGACAGGAAAGAGGGCAGAGGGCAGAGGACAGAGGAGAGAGGGCAGAGGACAGGGCAGAGGGCAGAGGGCAGAGGACAGAGGACACAGGACAGAGGATAGAGGGCAGAGGACACAGGACAGAGGAGAGAGGGCAGAGGAGAGAGGGCAGAGGGCAGAGGACAGAGGGCAGAGGACAGAGGAGAGAGGGCAGAGGACAGAGGGCAGAGGGCAGAGGACAGAGGGCAGAGGGCAGAGGACAGAGGACAGAGGACAGAGGGCAGAGGGCAGAGGGCAGAGGGCAGAGGAGAGAGGGCAGAGGGCAGAGGACAGAGGGCAGAGGACAGAGGAGAGAGGGCAGAGGACAGAGGGCAGAGGGCAGAGGACAGAGGGCAGAGGGCAGAGGACAGAGGACAGAGGACAGAGGGCAGAGGGCAGAGGGCAGAGGGCAGAGGAGAGAGGGCAGAGGGCAGAGGAGAGAGGGCAGAGGAGAGAGGGCAGAGGGCAGAGGACAGAGGAGAGAGGGCAGAGGACAGGGCAGAGGGCAGAGGGCAGGAAAGAGGGCAAAGGGCAGAGGACAGAGGAGAGAGGGCAGGAAAGAGGGCAGAGGGCAGAGGACAGAGGAGAGAGGGCAGAGGGCAGAGGGCAGAGGGCAGAGGAGAGAGGGCAGAGGAGAGAGGGCAGAGGAGAGAGGGCAGAGGACAGGAAAGAGGGCAGAGGGCAGAGGACAGAGGAGAGAGGGCAGAGGACAGGGCAGAGGGCAGAGGACAGAGGACAGAGGACACAGGACAGAGGATAGAGGGCAGAGGACACAGGACAGAGGAGAGAGGGCAGAGGAGAGAGGGCAGAGGACAGGAAAGAGGGCAGAGGACAGAGGAGAGAGGGCAAAGGGCAGAGGACAGAGGGCAGAGGGCAGAGGAGAGAGGGCAGAGGGCAGAGGGCAGAGGACAGGACAGAGAACAGGACAGAGGGCTGAGGACAGAGAACAGAGGTTGGATGACAGAGGACAGAGGACAGGGCAGAGGACACAGGACACAGGACAGAGGACAGAGGACAGAGGACTTACTCCATGCTGCTGACCTTCATCCCGGTGTGGAAGTGTTTCAGATGCAGGAAGTCCAGCAGCACCTGCGGCACGTCGTCGTTCTGATAGATGATGTCCTGCAGCAACGGAGAACAATACGACTTTTGAATATGAAATAGTAAATGTTGGTTTTCTGCAGCTACACTTTGGCACATTGCCTTGGCAGAGTGACATGGCATAATATAAACAGCAAGATGATGAATTCATCAGGTGGCACATGAGAATATTCGGAGATGCTCTAGTACATTTCTCGTTTGATCTCAATGTTGAAAATCTCTGGTTTAAGTCAATCAGATAAAAAAAGGCTTGAACTAGAACAACATGTAGATCACACATTACACCCCTTTGTATTCATTTCAGGAGGAGTTGAATACATCTACCTCTGACTACTGAGAATCAGACACATTCATTTGACTCATGTACAGTTACATTTAGCAGGCTTCTCGCTATGCAGTTTAAAGGGGACCTATCATGCAAAATGCACTTGTGTACGTCTTTTATACATGAATATGTGTCCCCGGTGTTCCAGGGAACTCACCAAGTGTCAGAAAACACAACCCTCTCTATTTTCCTCCATACCCAAATCTCTAAAAAAGGGGCTGCAACGGATCTGATAAAAACTGATCCAGATTTGAACACTGTCCTGACGTCAGGACGGTGGCGCTACGGCTATTGGGCCAACTCCACCAATCAGGAGGAGACAGCCACGGCCATTGCCGTTCGAAAGCACTGGAGACGTTGTAGTACATATGCCAGGCCTGTAGATGGTGCTGTTCTCACTGAATCAGCCCTTGCAAAAACAGAGCTAACATTTTTCAAAATGAGGCATGGCTAAAATGCATGATCTGTTTGGTATTTTGAAAAAAAAAAAAGTATAAATATGCCTTATATAGGTATGGTCCTACACTATATTATTCAAATATAGCATGATAGGTCCACTTTAAGATATTAACAAATAAATAAAACTAGTTATGAAAACAGTAATAAAAACAGTAATAGCCATAAAGCAAATACAACAATAAAAGGCACTAGTTACATTTAAAGTCAGTTTAAAGGCTAAAAGCTCAAATCGAAAAAGTTGATCGTACTTTTACTGCTGTCGCTCCTCAACTCTTAAAGAGCCAATTCGAAGACTCAAGTCTCAGAAAGTCAAATCTTTAAATTCTTACAGAAGCATCTATTATTTTCTCTTTGTGGTTATTCACTTATTTCACCTGGTTTGTATAATGTTTCATCTGGTTACAGTTATCTCCTTTTTTCGTGTTCCTTTGAAGCAACTTCTGTTTTGAAAGGGGCTATACAATCTACATTAAATTCAGTTTTGTCAATTGCTTCAAAGTTCCCCGTCAGTTACACAGTATTACTTATTAAAAAATATATTCTTGCACAAGAGCAGTACACAGACTTGCTCTTAAATGACATTGTCGGCGCATTTCTACATACGAGTTGCTGCAGAAGTCCCTCTTGTTACCTGGATGTAATCCTCCAGCTCGTGCCTCCTCTGCTCCAGAGGCTTGGTCCTCAGATGGGGGTTCCTCTTGCTCGGGAGGTCTGGAGTGTGGATGATCTTCCTGAGCTGCAGGACACACAACATACAACTTAAACTTTCAAATAAACTGTGATCAACAGCACATGATGGCTGGAATTAATAGGTACTAATGTTAAGGTTTAAATAACAACCTTTTTTACAACAAGAAGCACTTTATTGAATGGTTCCCCTCTTTTGCACGTGTAAGTGTGTGAGCAGGATTCTTATCTTGGCGTTTGTTTCACACTATTCAACTGATGTTAAGCTGGCTATCAAAACACTTAGAAATGAACCAATAAGGTATGAAGCATCTATATGAAGCTCACCGCAAGTTCTTTCAGGAATACTGGGTTTATATATACATTCACTCCGCAGCTGCATATAATCAGCTCATCACGGGCGTTGTCTATAACCTATTACATTCACCTCATTCTCAGCAGCCAATCACTGTGCTGCAGCCAAACTTTAAAATGGTTCTCCTCTCTCCTGCAGTCAGCTGTGATTTCAGGTTTTCATGCTGCCGCCCGCCTCCTCCCCATCCACCTCCTTTCATCATATCCAGTGCCAGGAGAGCTAATCCAAAGACCTCATCACACCTCCTCTTCATCCCATCTCCTCATCAAATCCAGATCTTCAGCATCATCACCAGTGTCTAGACCCCGGGGGGGTTCCCTATATGCTCACGGCTGCATTTCCCCTTTAGATATACGATTTCAGGATCGGGGTCTAATCGCCAAAGACTTAACATTTATCATATGACATGTGTCAATAAATGTTCTTTAAACAAAATGAAGTCTCTCCTGATTGAACTAAAACGATTACAATAATACAACAATTTCAACACATTTAGAGAGCTGTCATCTTCTTGTCCAACTCATGTGGTTTTAAACAACAATACACATCTTTTTAGAAAGGCAAGAGACCACCAGTGAAGCCTCCTTACCCTCCTATTATCGGTCACAAATAACATATCATCAATTAGCATAACACGCAGTGCCTACTATAGGAAACAGTAATTCAGTAACATTATATTAATTAGGACTGCGGCTATAAAGCGACATACCTTTCTGTGGAGAGTCTGGAATTCGCTGCTTCTTCTGAGCACATAATGTTTCCTCCCATTGAACAACACTTCGACTCGGAAAAGCTGTAAACAGAAGACACAAGGAGACACGTAAAGGATTTATTCACAATCTTTCATTTAGTAAATGTAATGTTTGGAGACGGGAACTATGTCAAAAATGATCAACCCAATATATGTTTTGCTTCTTCATCAACATCAAATTCATTCAAGTGTGCATCACAATACACCATCATCACTTCTCCACCAGGAGGAGGCACAGAGCTTCAATTACATTTCTCTTCCACCATTAATACAACACTTAAATACATGTCATGTACACTGTAGGCCAAGATGTAAACTACTATTAATCATGTCTATCTGTAAACAAATACATTCCTTTATGAACTTTTAAATACAAAGACCTGAGTGACACATTTAGTTAAAAAACTGTTCTGCAAACATACCAAAGAAATACACAGTATGAAAACACATAATCTGTACACTGTATCTGAAATATTTAGACAATTCTTTAAAGAAAACTCTCTTGATTAATATCTGAATGTTGACATTCATCTTAACTGTCCTTGCAGTAGACACTGGGTGTAAACTGTAAACCACAGGAGTAACTTACGCTGTCTTCTCTTACAGATGAATACATTAGAGGGCAACCAAACATCAGCAAATAAGAAATAATAATAAGAGCATTGTGCAGCTGGAGAGAAATTGAATGCTTAAAGATGTGTGTTGAACAAACTGCAGGACGACCTTTGTGGAGTTAGTACTTACTTTTTCAGTAATGTAAACAAACAGAAACAAAGTCTGACGTCTTGAGTCTGAGATGATCAAACTGAGCAGAGGTCAGTTCAGCACACTGCAGTACATTCCCCAGGCTAGTGTCAATGTTTGCCCACTATTTTAAAATGTATGTGTGAATGCAATTTATTACACATTCATATCGTGGTGTCAGATGTGTGTGTGTGTGTGTGTGTGTGTGTATGTGGCACAGTGGGTTGTGCATATGGGTTGTGCACAGGTTCAAACCCCACTGCAGTCAGCATGTCGTTGTGTCCCTGGGCAAGACACTTCACCCCAAATTGCTTCTGTGGGGATTGTCCACAGTATTGAGTATGTAAGTTGCTTTGGATAAAAGCTTCTAACAAGTAACATGTAATGTGTGTGTGTGTGTGTGTGTGTGTGTGTGTGTGTGTAGCAGTATAATGTCACCAAAGTTTTACAGCTGTCTGCACTGTTTGAAAAAGGAACCAAATAACTTCTACTTTTAAGTAGAAAAGTACTGTTCTAGTTTTCTCACGTAATGTTTTACGTACAAAATATTTCAGAGGAACATATTGTACTTTTTAGCTCTGTTTTAAGATCACATTTATAATGTCACACAAAACAAATGGTGACATTATAAAATAGGAGGGTTTGTTATAAATTCCCCTACCAAAGCTTTATATAAAAGTTCAAATGATCAACAAACCGCAGCTTACTTACTGCTATGTTGACGCATCGATAATAAGATCCATATAAGAGCAACACAGACCATTGTGCATAGTGAGTGCTTTTACTTTTATTTAAAGTATATATTTTGATGCCAATGCACAATGTGTATAGTGTAGTATTTTATTGTAACACAGTAAAGGATGGTGAGGTGGAAAAAGCACTCAGATCTTTTTAAATTGAGTGTTTACACACTTTACATTATTAAGTAATTCAGTATTCTTATAAACATGGGCTCAAAGCACCAACAATAAAATCATTCTTATGCAGAATAATGTATAATATGGATTATAAGTATTGACCCATTCTTGTTAATTAATTGTAATTAACCAAGTTGAAACCATCTTTATACTAATACAACATCTTTTAGCAGTTCATTTGTAGTTTGCAGTCACTTTAAGTAACCAAGTCACAGTGGAATATCAAGTACAATATCTTCCTTAGAATTAAAGTAGAAGATTTTAAATGCTTATGTGCACGTAGACCAAAACTGTACTTACAGTAAGTACAGTGATTGAGAAAATATATACTTACCTTTTTCACCACCTTCTTTTAAGGCATATTCAAATGCACAACTCGATCACTTGGTTTTATTTAGTGTTTTTACTATGGATGTGTACTTTTAGATTTGTACTTTTATTAACGTGCCTCTTTCTTTAATATGTTATATTTTTTAAATGTATTTTTTCCTTTTATCTGCTATCCTCTTGGCTGTAACGATGTAAATGTCCTGATTTCGGATTAATACATTATTTCTGATTCTAACTTTGATTATTTAAGCAGTTAGTGTGTTTCCCCTCTGGGAGAAATGGGAGGAAACGTGACGTCACTCTCACTCTTCCTCTTCCTGCAACACCTGGCTCACCTGGCGTCGCACTTCACCTTTAATACACAACTACAAAGCCAAAATAGCACCGCAACAAAGTGATAATGGTGGATAACAACGTGTTTGACGCTGCTGAAAAGAGCGAAATCAAGGTAAAAGTCAAGCTGCGTGCTCACCTTTCTGGATTTCCCCGCCTCATCCACTTCCCTCTCCATGGAGGGGATCGATACTTCAATCATCGGGAATTCCTCCTGCCAAACCATCGGAATGATCAGCTGTTTGCGGGTCACTTCCTGCAACTGAAAGGTAACTCCACTCGGTTTTTCCGCGACAGGAACAGAACAAATAAACTCTCAGCCTGTCTGTCTGCCTGCCTGCCTGTGTGTGTGGTGTGTCTCTCCAGTGTTCTTCCTGTGCTCCACCTCCACACTAATTGGACACACACAACCAGAGGGTGCGTTCAGGGACGTTAAAGGTGCAGTCCGACATTTAGGAACAGAGTCCCTGCTGCTGTCTGAAATAAAAAAAGGGAAGTTTACATGGACAACACAGGACTGGAGTTTACTGTGACGTTCAGTGGGGGCAAGCAGTGGGCAAATTCAACTTGTAGTCAGTGGTATCATTTCATACATTTGTACAAGCTTGCTGTAGTTATACCTTACCTGAGTATTTTAACTTACACTACTTTATACTTCAAATAGACTACATTTTAGAAGCAAATATTGTGAAAAAGGAACAAACTAACTTTATACTTTCTTCTTCTTCTTTATACATCCAACTACAGAAAAACCTCTCAGAAATAAATAAACATATTTAGCAACAAACACAAATAATGCTTTATGTATTAGAAAAGTACTGTAAGTACAGTTTTTCTTATACTCCACCTTAGCTGAGTATTTTAACTTTATGCTACGATATACTTCTTATCGAATACCTTTTGGAAGCCAATATTGTACTTTTTATTCTGCTGCATTTATTTCAAAGCTTTAGTTACCTTACAGATTCACATTATTCACTAACACAACTTATAAATGAACATTTACCTCCCGGCAAGACCAAGTGCTACCGAGGTGTCCCTGAGCAAGGCACGGTCCGTTCCCTACACTGCTCCCCGGGCGCCGTTCATAATGGCAGCCCACTGCTCCTAACACTATGGGTCAAATGCAGAGAAACCATTTCGTTACATAGTTTTTTAATTGTATTTAACCTTTATTTAACCAGATAAAAAGCATTGAGATAAGATCTCATTTTCAATGCTGACCTGGCCAAGAAGGCAGCAACGTTACACATAACACATAACACAAACATGTAAAATACAGAGAACACAACTATGAAAACAAAAAAACAAAACGAAAAGCAGCCACTACATTGTGCACATTTAGGACAGTAAGAAAGGTACACTACTTATTACTGCAAGAGCAGCTGGTGGTGAGGACCTCAGACAACTTCAAATTAAAACAGGCTATAGGGACAAGTGCCGTCAGTTTGAGGCGTGATTGAAGGTCATTCCAAGACCAAGGACCATAATAAAAAAGACTCCTTTTTCCAGCCTCAGTCCGCACAGCAGGTACCTGGAACCGTATCCAGGCGCTGGATCTGAGGTTGTAAGAGTCACAAACTGGGGCAAATCTGGCACAGATGTACAGTGGAAGCTTACCTAAAATGGCTTTATACATTAATAAAAACCAATGCTGCATCCTACGCATAGTAAGTGAGGACCATCCAGTTAGGCTATATTTGCAATGATGAGTCCTATAGGGTGCATTTGATATATATCGCAGTGCAGCATGGTAGAGTGGGTCAAGTTTGGCCAAAACAGTGGGACAGGCAAATCTATAAATGGTATCACCGTAGTCCAGCTGGGACAGGAATAAGCCAGAGACCAACCTTTTACGGGAAGAAATTGAAAAACAACATTTAAGTCTGAAAAGGAAGCCAAGAGTGAATTTCAATTTCTTAGTTAGAACTTCAATGTGATCAATGTTCAGTACTATGTAATGACAATAAAAGTGCAAAACAAACTAAACATATTGACATACATATACAGTAGGTACAATTCCCAGCGGCAGTTTATAAAGTAGAATTAGCTCCACCTTTACCAGCTGTGATGAACACATTATTGCATTAATAATCATAATGCAGTAGTTTTTTATTTATATTCTAAAATGGGCCATAAGGGATGACAAGTATTATTACTTTTGGTACTAGTATATAAAGTGTGTTTGATATTGTTTTATACTGCCAATAGTTTTGTACTTTACTTGAGGTAAGATCTTAAATGCTGGACTTTTATATTATAGTAGTATATTTACAATTGACTATTGCTACGTAAAATATCTGGGTACTTATTCCACCACAGATTTGAATAAAGTATGTAGTTGCAGATTTATAGCAGACAGAATACAGTTGACAAAGAACCACCAACGGAGAATCCCATTTGAAAGCTTGAATAAATGTAGTAATTTACTGTCTTTCCCTTTAGTGATTCAAATGTAAATGATTATTTTGATACCATTGATTGATTGATTGATTGATTGATTGATACATTTTATTTTCGAACAAGTAAAATAAATAATTACAAAAAACAAAGAAATGTTGCAGTGCATAGTCATGTAAAAGAAAACAAAACAAAGTGACATTTACAACAACAACAACAACAGCATTAGCAACATAAACAGTCCCACATCTAGTGTTCGAAAAGGAGTGAGAAGAAGTATAACTTATTTAATCTCACCCCCTTGCCCCTAAATTATTTATTTATAATCTATAATCTATAATCTATAAATAATAATAATTATCATTATTAATCTGCTTTACTTGTTTATTGACATATACACATATATATACACACGCACACGCACACGCACACACACACACACACACACACACACACACACACACACACACACACACACACACACACACACACACACACACACACACACACACACACACACACACACACACACACACACACACACACACACACACACACACATATACACATATACACATATACACACATATATACACATACGCATATACATAGATACATACAGTCAGACACCCTCCCCATCCCTGTACCTGGAGAAAATAATTTCTCTGTATTTCCTCTTGACCTGGTTAATGTCTGGACATCGCTTTAGCTCCACATTCACACTGTTCCAATGTCTCACTCCACAGGCTGAGATACAAAATGTTCTTCTGGTTGTACGGACCCTATGAATTTCGAATTTAAATGGTCTCCTTGAACTATATCCCCCCACTTGTTGAGTGAATACTTTTTGGATGTTTCCTGGTAAAACGTCATTTTTTGCCTTAAACATGATTTGTGCCGTTTTGGAATTCTACCAGGTCTTTACATTTCAACAATTTTGACTGCAGGAATAATGCGTTAGTGTGATCAAGATATTTGGCATTGTGAATGATTCGTATGGCTTTTTTTTGTAAAATAGATACTGAATGTATTGAACTTTTGTAGTTATTGCCCCAGGTTTCAGCACAGTAAGTCAGACATGGTAAGACTAGTGAACCATTTGGCCACTTTAGCATAGAGAGCCGAAGTCCCTCCCTTTCCGGGGGAGCTCCATGGGACCTTATTTCGGAAAAAGTATGTATTGAAGTCAATGGGGAGAGAAAGATTATCTTTCGATCCCGTTTGAATTGTGCCACGAATTACACATATGATGTTTGTCAATTTAAAAGATAATTTTGCAAGTCAAAAAAATACAAATGTGTCGTAAAAATGTGAAGTAACACTTTTTTTTGTGTGAAACCGCTCAATGAACTACATCTCCCGTCTCGCACCACACACCAAGACGGCTGTCACGTTGGCACATTTCACTTCTTTCTTTCAGAATGAGGCGAAAAGTATTAAAAGAGGTGAAAATCACTCCAAGTCTGGGCATGTTGAGAGCTGTGCATACACACAAGGGGAGTTAGTCGGGTCCGTAAGAGCCAGCATGCAGGACCGGGATTCTGGGATTTGTAGTCTTTCTAGTTGCATATTTTTCATAGTCTTATATTTCAACAGTTTTACGACAAACTGTGACTTTTTTGACATGGAAATAATTTTTTAAGATTGACAAACATCATATGTGTAATTCCTCGTGGCACAATTCAAACGGGATCGAAAGATAATCTTTCTCTCCCCATTGACTTCAATACATAATTTTTCCGAAATAAGGTCCCATGGGTTGGAAGTAGATGGGCGGGACTTCGCCTCTCTATAGAGTAGTGAACATGAAAAAAGCAAATGTATTTTCATCATCTGATCTCTGACATTGTGTACAGTGGAAGTTTGTGAAGAGAATTTAAAGAGGAAACACCTGATCCCAGGTCAGGAGACAATCCTTATTTTAAGAGAGTTCCTGCAGAAAAAAACAGCTACACAATCAAAAATACAAATGCACATGCCTGCCGATGATCTATCTTACTTATCTACTGATACAGAAATGGATAACAAAGCAAGTGAACTAGTAAATAGACATCATTTTCTCAGAAAACTGTAAAAAAAAATAACGTGCGCAGATCGTTTTTGGGTCATTTTGAGGAAAGACTTTCTGTCATTCGCAATTTCTATTTGGTGCCATTTATATAACACTATTAACAGCGGTATCAGAGGTGTGTCAACTGTATTTTTAGACAAAGCTCAAGGCAATTGGGGTTAAAACGTACAGCCTTCAGAGAGCAACCATGTCATATTTCACTTTCAAATCCAGGTTCACTTCCCACTGAGTGAGAGAGCTCATTGGATATAAAAAGGGATGTAAACCCAGACCACACAACACAAGACTTCAGACATAATACTCACATCCTCTAAGGCCCACTGCTCGAAATCCAAACTTTATTTTGATAGGAAATAAGGCAAGACTTTTTAATATTTAATCAGGAACGGTAATAGCAACTGCAGATAACAACAACTGCTTTTTAACTATAGTTTTAAAGTCTAAGCCAAAATATCTGTAATGTAATTTTGCTTAGTAGCAATTCTATTTAAAGATATCTACATTTCCTTTCTTACAATTCAAACAAATTATTGATATTAAAAACTCAGACTAATGGAAATGTTAATTGTATATATCTGTAGTTTAATTACAAGTTCCTACTTTAACTTAATTACAGATATCTTTAATTGGGTTCAGTCCAAGTTGACATATCCGTTCACAATTGCTATGTTCCCTCTTTAAATAGCATGTGCAGCTCATTTTCCACGTGCTGATCTAAACCAGAATCACATGCTGTCTGTGACCGTCATCACGGGATTGATATCTTCCTATCCGTGTTGTTGCTCACTGTTTTAATTATAAACAGACGGAAGAGCTTACTTCAGCAGCTCTACGTGAGGATAAGTGACCTTTTAGTCATACATCACACTGCCTGCTGGGTACAAATATAACAGAGATTTCGTCATCAGCGTGTTTTACTACGACTCATGAGAATCCTTGGTGAACACGCATTGTGACAAATCCTCAGTCAGCAGATACAGGAGGTACACATTAACAAAAAGGAAGTTAGTCGGTTTTGTAGCTGTGAGATACACTTTAACCTTGAGCATAACTTTTGAACATAATGTGATTTGTTTTAAGAATGTTTCCCTTTCACTTTGAATCAAAGACACTGGCCCAGTCAAAAATAATCCAGTGTTATTGGGTAAACCTGCGTTAAGCGTTTTCAATCATAGGGCATGTATTAGTTGATTAAAGGAGACTTTGAAGTTGTTTTTTTACACGCTATAAAAGATTTTTGATGTGAGGTTGCCACAAACTTTATCTAGAGCAGGGGTCTCAAACTCAAGGCCCGGGGGCCAAATCCGGCCCGCTACTTCATTTTATGTGGCCCCGCAAGAGCTTGCAAAAAATATAATACGTTTATTATACGGTTACATGCCACTTTACAGAAGCAGGTTGTCCATAAACTACATGTCCCACAATGCATCTCGTTTTGTGACATGCGCACTGAAGAGACTTGCAATTATTTGCCCTGGACTTCTGCTTTCAGACGTAGTTAATTACTAAGTTATTATCCTATCCGATAATAATCCAATTCAAAGGCAATAATGTAATATAATACATTATTTTATATATATATATTATATATTTATATAGTTACAACCGGCCCTTTGAGTGCAACCTTTATGCGGATGTGGCCCGCAATGAAATTGAGTTTGACACCCCTGATCTAGAGTATCGTGTGCCTTGTGTAGAAATGTATTGTGGTCATATTGGCTTAGTAAGGTTAGAAACATCTTCATTCAAAGGAATAATTCAACAATGTTTAGGAATGCATTCAATCATTTCCCAGCTGAGAGAGTAGGAGATTGATGCCACCCTCACATCGATCTGTTCATTAAATGTTACCCTACAGCCAGGAGATGATTAGCTTAGCTTAGCATACAGATACAGTTGTAACACATAACTTTTACACTTTACTTATAAACAAAACAATATATAATATGATAATCAATGAGCTTAAAGATGATGCAAGGTATGTGTCTATTACATGTGGACAAAGCCAAGGCTAGCCATTTCCCCCTGACTTTAACTCTCACCGTCAGTCTCCCCCTTAACTGCAGTCATCTGGGACATTTTGTCAAACTAGAAAAACCACAGGTGCAAACAATGGTTGAGTCATTTTCAAGTGTCTGTGAGAGAGCAGAGCAGTGAGGCAGAACGACAATACCTACACAAAGCAAACAGGGTAAAGTCTGAATCTTGTTAATCATTTTGCAACCAAATGTATCCCGTGACAGTCAGTAAGAGCGAGTGATAGACTTATATAATAAAAGGTAATATAATAAAGTTTCCATTTCTCACATTCAGAAAAATGTAATAGTTTTAAAAACTATATGTAAGATGTTAAAGGTCCCATGTCTTGGCCATTTCTACTGATCATAATTCCATTGTTGAGTTATACTAAAATAAATGTATATTGTGCAATTTTCCAAACTCACATTGGTTTCTCATACAGCATCTCTGTATAGTATGTGTATTCACTCTCTGTCCTAAACGGCTTGTTGGAGCTCCTTCCCCCCCCCTCCCTGTGAGCCCAGTGGCCATCTGCGAGACAGCGAAACCCAGCCCGAAACACACACACACTCGCAGCCTGGCTGGGAGTTTGTGTGTGTGCCCAGGCTGAGTTTCGCGGTGTCTCGCTGTCTCGCCGACCCCACACCAGTGAGCCAGCTCACACTGTCCCGCTCCTCACAGCAGTGAGCTTCGCAACGTCCCGCCGAGTGTGTGTGTGTGTGTGTGTGTGTGTGTGTGTGTGTGTGTGTGTGTGTGTGTGTGTGTGTGTGTGTGTGTGTGAGGAAGTCCGCGGATTGGTCCAAACTTAACGACTCCGCGTTACGTTACGTCACTATACCCAAGAAGTACACAATGGAAAAATGGAGAAATGTCCAACGAGGCGTTCTGGGGCAGCAGAGACAGGTCTTTTCTGTGTTAGGGTTTTACTCGCTACAGGGTGTACTTTGAGGGTTTGTGACTCTGCAGACCGTTTACATGCATAAAAAGCTACATAACACACAAGGGGACGGGTAATAACCAGAAAAGCATGACATGGGACCTTTAAGTTTTGGGAAAGTCTATAACTTAATCTTGTTAACAACATGGACACATTTACTGCAATTGTCTTTATGTTTGGCTGATCTCAACATGATTTGAAATGAGTTAATCTTGTGCAACTTCAGTGTGTAAATCAGATAACTTGAAATGACAAGGACAAAAGTTTACTATTACACATTGTGTTTTGGTATTTGTATCCCCCCTCCTGAAACTCACGTTGAGGCAAGTCGGCACAACTTCCCGCGCTGCAGTTTGTCATTTATAGAAATACCAGCCGGTCTGGGGAGCGTGATGCAATGTGTCCGAGCCAGTGAGCAAATGAAAGAGAGCACTGTGATCCAGAATAATTGCATTAGTGGACGCATTCTTGAGTACTGCTACTGCATGTCAACTGTGTTGTTTACTGATAAAAAAATGACTTGTAGTAGTTCCTGCAAATATAAAACTCCTCATGCAGAACAATTCAATAAAAAAACATTGTAAATAATGGATAAATATTAGTTTCTGGTCACCTAAAATATAACGTTTTTCCCCTGGATCGCATTCCTGATGTTCAACTCCATATTCTTGGTTTATGATTTCCTAAAGCTTAAAAATCACGTATAATCAAGTTTAAATTATGTTTTTATTTGCTTTTCATACATTTTAGAATTGTTATTTTAAGATATGTACTGAATCAATTACAATATGTTTGGTGAGTGAGTGTGAGAGTGTTAAACAAAAGGCATCTATGTCCAGAGGTGCCATTACTGTAGCATCAAATAGAAGAGTATGATGCACACAACTCTCACTGACGCAATGCATTTCAGATTAAAATATATCTTGCTTTTCAAATCCATAAGAGTGATCTGCCACTAGGGGTCTCTCTAGATCTTCAAATAAGGTCCCGAAGTATTTCATCATCACAAATCGTAAATATCAAGTGTTCAGATCTCAAGTGAGCCTAAAGCCATTTTTTTTGTGGTGTAGAACAAAACAAAAATATATTTTTTACATTATTCCATCTAAATTCAACTTTTTTTCACTCCGTAAATAAGTTTTGCACCTTTTATATGACCATGACTTGGTCTCTAAGGTAACCAACTTTACTACCATGATACATTATGCAAGGTTTATATTTCACTTCAATTTATTAATTTCAAAATAATATTTGAGGACCACTTTAAGAATCCCTAAAATATGTCTCTACAGATCTTTTTCAAAAACATTTGTATTTTATTTTCCATCAGCTGAAATGGCATTTTATAGATTGTTATCCTTTGCATTTGTTTTGTTGATAAAGATATGACAATGTATAGATATTGAATTAAACATGTATTTTATACCTTTCTAGACTTTCCTTCAATTTACAAAATATATTATAAATAAACTAACAAAATAGCATTAAATAGTATAACACAAATGTTCTGCTAGTGTTACAATTATACTGTTTGATAATATAAATATGGCAGTTTAAGAGCCCACTTTCTAAAGCTACCTGGAAACCACAAAGCTAATGGTGTCTTCCAAACTTTCCACCTGAAAGAAAAAGCACAACAGATATTTGTAACTGTTAACAGTGTATTAAATGGTGTACACACTATTGTGATTTTATAAGCAGTAATCCTCTCATCACTCATATATATATATTTGTATACATGTGGTAGAAAATGGATCTTGAATCTGATCTTTGTCACTCTAATGGCAAACCCAAAGCCTATTTATCAGACGAAATAACATTTTTTAAATAAAATGTTAGCACTCATCTAAGTCATCTAAAAATGATTTTTGTTTGACTTTCTCAGTAATTGTCCCACATCCTCATGTGACCACCTTGTGTTAAAAAGCTTTAATGTCATCCTCATAAAAAGAAGATTAATGAATAAACTCATGTGGTCTGCATAGGCTACATGTAGACCAGTCAACCTCAGATGTACCTGCTTGTCTCTTCCCACACCGAGGTTCTTTAGCTGGTAGACGGTCACTTCCCCCTCAGTGTCCCCCACCAACACGCAGTCTGTCCCTGAGGCGAACAGCAGGGACGTCACAGCCACGGCAGCACGGTGCACGACGGTTGGGAGCATGCTGAAAAGAAATGCTCGTATTTAGTGGACACAGGATTATGTCTGGCTCATGTTTCAAATCAGAAACATAAGAGTAAAGAGCTCTCAGATTATCGGTCAGTCTGACTCACATGTTCAAATTCAAGTCCCAGATCTCCACCATCTCGCCGTTAATGGCTGCAAATACGGTGGAGGAGTTTGGGGACCACCTGACGGTGGACACGGCCCTCTGGGTGGATTTGAAGCTCATCACCGGGTCGGAGCAGTCCTGCTTCCACAGCTGGATGGTCCAATCAGAGGAGCAGCTGAGGAACACATCAGGACTGAAAGGAGACCACTCAACATGGTTCACAGGGCACTGAGGGAGAGACACAAGATATAATGAGTGAATAAACTGAAATAACCAGTTTATATAGATAGCAATTTTTCAATTAAACTATTAAATTAAATTGAAGTAAATGTGTAGCAGACAGAATTACTGAAGTCTAACAAGGTATGGAATGTTTGTTGTTATTGTTACTACAAATAATTCAGGGTTTTGTGAAGTTTCTAACAGCAAAGGATTATTTTTGGTAACTAAAATATGACTTTAGATAGAATTGTAAAACTCTCTCTCTCCGATACAAAACATTTATTTTATTTTGACTTGCTTAAAAACATATAGAATATCCATACAGTGATATTACTTGTTGTGAGTCCAGACCATAATGAGTAGGTGCTGGACAGCAGCACATATCAAAGATGGAACAACAATTATGAACACCAGATCGTCATGTTACTACATCTATATATTTATACAATATTAGAGTAGGGTTGTGCGATTATGGCAAAAATCATAATCACGATTATTCTGGTCAATAATTGATATCACGATTATTCAAAACGATTATCCATTTACTTTGAAAACATCCATTTATTTAAAAAAAAAATTGATTACCCTGAACTTTAAGTATAATTCAACTGAAAAACCAATAAAAATAAATAAAAATAATTACATTTAAAAAAATAATTAAAAAATATAATCATTTTATTTTGATTACGTTGTTTTCGTAATCGTTGCAAGCCAAAATCGTAATCGGGATTAAAATACGATTAATTGCACAGCCCTATGTTAGAGTATACATTATTTATTTATAGTTATTAAATATAACTTATATGTACGTAATTGTATTATTCCTGCTTTTGCATCGTTATGTCTCTTGCACTACTTTAGACTTACAAAGTGTTTTTTGTAAGTGTGGAGGACGTTCTGACTGTTGGAGACGGAGCACTTGTGGATGAGGCACTCCGATGTGCCGGCCAGGTAGATACTGGAGTCCTGCAGGACAACAGCAAACCAGGAGAAATGTGTGATGTTTTGAATGCAGAAAATCAGAACCAGAACAAGAGATAGTCTTGAATTGACTGTGTGTAATCGTGAAGACAGGACCAACTCACTTTGGGATGGAAGTCCACGCAGAAACCAGGAGTCATGGCTGAAATAATGCGTTCTGTCTTCTTCTTGTTTTCCGCAGCTTTCTTCAACTTCTGACTCTTCTTTAGCTTCATCAGGTCTTAGAACACAGGTTTTTTTTTAAATATAAATATATTTACATGTTGTTGGTGTGATTTATTTTAAGATAATCTATACCAAACAAGGATTTTTTGTATGTAGAATATTGTTTGTAGGCCGAAACTTCTCCGCAGCACCATAATAATAATAATAACTTTAATTTATATAGAGAGGCGAAGTCCCTCCCTTTCCGGTGGACCTCCCTGGGACCTTATTTCGGAAAAATTATGTATTGAAGTCAGTGGCGAGAGAAAGATTATCTTTCGATCCCGTTTGAATTGTGCCACGAATTACACATATGATGTTTGTCAATTTAAAAGATAATTTTGCAAGTCAAAAAAATAAAAATGTGTTGTAAAACTGTGAAGTAACACTTTTTTTGTGTGAAACCGCTCAATGAACTACATCTCCCGTCTCGCACCACACACCAAGATGGCCGTCACGTTGGCACATTTCACTTCTTTCTTTCAGAATGAGGCGAAAAGTATTAAAAGAGGTGAAAATCACTCCAAGTCTGGGCATGTTGAGAGCTGTACATACACACAAGGGGAGTTAGTCGGTTCCGTAAGAGCCAGCATGCGGGACCGGGATTCTGGGATTTGTAGTCTTTCTAGTTGCGTATTTTTCATAGTCTTATATTTCAACAGTTTTACGACAAACTGTGACTTTTTTAAGATTGACAAACATCATATGTGTAATTCGTGGCACAATTCAAACGGGATCGAAAGATAATCTTTCTCTCCCCATTGACTTCAATACATACTTTTTCCGAAATAAGGTCCCATGGGTCGGAAGTAGATGGGCGGGACTTCGCCTCTCTATACCGCCTTTCATTAACCCAAGGTTGCTTAACAAGAAACATATAAGGACAAGACATAAAACAGGGGGCAGAAATGGTTACATTGCAAGTGGGGGAAAACGTGAGTTATTGTTGGAAGGCTTTGTTGAACAGATGATTTTTCAGGGTAATGGATAAGGCTTCACTTCTTAGACATTTTCATATACTGTATGTTGCCTTGGGATATTGCACAGGGGATCACATTTCAATGAACTGTGCAGCCCTAATAAGCACCACTTCAGAACAACAACTTTGACCTGTAAACTATTACAATGAGATCATTCTCACAGCATATTGTGTGTATAATAACTGTCATAAAACTAAATATAGTGATATTTGGTCTTTCCAACTGCTTTGAAGTTCTGAAATGGTAAATTAATTTGCCAACATTCCCTTAACACTTGTTGGATGGGATATAATATACAATAAAGTAAGGTCAACTGATATAATGCATACTGAGCTTAGTTGTTTTTCTGCTTTTCAACCTTAAAGCTAAAGTGTGCATGTTTGCCAATCGGCTATGTCAGCATTTACCTCTGAATCTACAATGTTTACTCTTCGATGTTATCAGCATACGTGTTTTTAAACCATTTCCCTGCTGCAGACTACAGTACCTATGCAGTCGAGACCATTGCTGGAGAGGAGCCACTTGGTGACCCTGCCATCTGCCGACACAGCAACCAGAGCCTCCACCCTGTCCTCGCCTGAGAGCGCCATCTCCTGTTTGGACCAGCGGACCTGCCACACTGGGTGCAGGTGCTTTTTGTGACATTCACTATAGAACAGAAATATAAAGCAAGCTAAAAAGAAAAGGGCTTTGGTCCAATATAATGTATTTCCAAACACACCAACGTGTCCAGACATTTCTCACCTGCTGTCGGTGATACATGTGACGTTCCTCCTCTGGACATTGTAGATGGCTAAAGTGCCGTCTAACATCCCCACAGCCAGCTGGCCGGGGTTATTGGCAGAGAAATCCAGAGACGTCACACAACACTTACACTGGAAGACTCGCTCCGGCCACTGCACAGGAGACACATTCAGTTATACAGCTCATTGTGTTGGGCGTATTATGCACTCTTTGCACTCATTTTGAGTCTCTTTGTGATTGTTTTGTCCCCTTTTATAGTCACTGTGAGTCTCTTTGTGGTTGTTTTGAGTCTCTTTGTGGTTGTTTTGTCCCCTTTTATAGTCACTGTGAGTCTCTTTGTGGTTGTTTTGTCCCCTTTTATAGTCACTGTGAGTCTCTTTGTGGTTGTTTTGTCCCCTTTTATAGTCACTGTGAGTCTCTTTGTGTGTTTTTTTTGTGCCTGGTAGGCCCGTTCAGTAATCCATCAATGTTAAAAATATATGATGTAAGTTGAACTACAGGTTGAGATAAGGCTCTGAAAAATGTTGAGTGAAAGGGCAAAATAAATGATAACCATACCGTGGGGTTTTTGAGGGACCAGCAGCAGATCAGACCTGGCGTCTGGGCCTCGGGGTCACAGTCACCGTATCCCACTGCCAGAATATCCTGACGCAGAGCACAAACACAGATTTGAGTAAATAAACTTTACTGGCACAAAAAAAAAGTCATCCAACAAAGACATGAACACTCTCCTAGAAGTGTTAGTTGCACATATATTATAAATATGTTCTATTTAGTGTCTGGGCACCTATTGTAAAGCTTTTGATCGTTTGTTGGGGTGTCCCATTTCACATATCTCCATTACGTTTTATAATTCTACCTGTACTTTTAAACTGTTTGTGAACAAAAATGAATATATTTTGGTAATCATTCATTGGGCTTTAAACTTACCAGAAATGTCTTCACAGTTTAGACTGCAGATATATTATATTACTATTATTAAAACGTGTCTTAATTGTTGACTGTGCAGAGTGAATGCAGAGTGAAGCTAAGACACAGAAAGAAAGTGAACCCAGAACGACATGGTCTCTGTTGTGTGAACCTGGTTGTCCTTGTTCCAGGCCATGCAGGTGATGTTGTGTCCTCTGGTGAGTTCACAGCTGAAAGCCCAGAGACGCTCAAGAGTTGGAGATGAAGAGCTCCCCTCACCCCCGTCGCTCTGTTCCTCTATCCCAGGCTTCACTGTGCTGTCAGGGTCTAACACAACAAACAGTGCATACAGTATTTATTCAAATACACTCACAAGAAACAGAAAGGACAAAGGACCAGATGTGAAGTACTGCACTTGAATGCACCAACAGTTTGTGAAAGCATTGATAACCTGAGTTTACCTTCTAGTATGGGCAGCTGTCTGTAAGCAGCCAGCCTGGGTTGAAAGACGTTTGTCAAGACGATCCTCTCCATCACTAATAAGCTTTTTTCAAACGTCTCTGACAACAGGATCAGCTGTGAGTTAGCCTCCGTGTTTGAACTGTTCTCGCTCATTTCCAATTCTAACGCTGAGCTAACTGTGCTGCCTGAGGAAATGAAATAGGGGGAAGTTATTGTTATTCCAAAACTAGTCTAAATAAACATTTCGAATGTATTCATTATTCGACTTGTCGGTCCCAAGCCTTTGCTGGAACAAAATACAACAAAAATTGTCAACGTTCTCCGAGGCATTGTTACCTGTGCAGACTGTGCTGCTGCTGCTCTTCTCTGATCTCTTCTCTTGACCTTTGATGGTGTTCACAGCTGTTTCTGTGTTGTCTGCCTTTTCGTTTTTTTGGGTTTCATTTTGGACGCAGAAAGAGTCATAGATGTCCCAGATAGAAGCCATCGTGCCTGTGGACATAAGAGATTATTAAGTAGCTGACTTTTTGAGCTGATTTTTTAAGGATAACTCAGTCTTACCTTCATCTATCATCTCAATCTTGTCAGTCTGGATCCGTATCTTTTTTGTTGTCCCATTGGATGTCTGCATCGATCGTTCCACATACTTATCGTTACCCATTCTGTTCCTGCAGAGCTCAGCATATTGGGTGTTTTTTTCTCTGTAAAAACAAGGAGAAAATCAGCAGCTTGTTACAACTAAAGAAGAGTAGTTAAAGACATGAAGGGCCACATACTGCACTCACTTCATAGCTTCTGCATCATCAGCGTCCTCTGACATGAAGGTGCAGGGGATTTCCAGCAGTGAAATGATTTCTGTCTCAGAGAGGCAGACGTAAACTTCCTCATCCAACATCTCCTCGGTCACAACGTGTTTGACATTGTCTCCTTTCCTAGGCACATCTGGCAGGGAAAGATAGAAAAAAGAAGATAAAAAATGATGAATAAATAATGAAAATACATGTATAACATACCACAAGAGATTATTTGCTGGACAAATATAATTCCATCTCTATATGTTGAAAGTTTAGTTTACAGTATAACATTTTACTTCTGTGTTGTGAAGAAATGCTTATACTACACATGTTAAAGATAATGCGTGTGGTGCAGTGGGTTGTGCGTTGGTGTTCGGATCAGGGGGTCACAGGTTCAAACCCCACTGCAGTCAGCATGTCGTTGTGTCCCTGGGCAAGACACTTCACCCCAAATTGCTCCTGTGGGGTATGTAAGTCGCTTTGGATAAAAGTGTCTAACAAGTGACATGTAATGTAATGCAAATAATGGTGAATATACAAATCACCATGGGGATGATAACTAACAAAATGACAGCATATACTGTATTTTAAAGGTGTTTTATGCAGCTTTCCCCCCCCCAAAAAAAACACATGTAAAAATAATCCAGTACCGCAGGGTAATGCAGAGGTGTAGGTGTGTTTAATTTTGTGAAACGATGACAACAAAAATATTATTTCTCTGATTCACCGCTTTTTTCTTGTAAGCATCACTCCCTCCACTTTGAATTTGGTGTGTTTACAAACAGAAACCAGCAATGCTATCCATCTACAATACCTTGAAAAGAGAATACTCACCGCTTGTAGCGGGAGGGTTTATTGGTATGTCCCGTTTATAATAACAATCCTCAGTCAGTGACGCTGAGGTAGACTGGCTAGAAGGAAGGGTGCTACTCCAAATTGAGCTGCAAAACAATGTAATTAATTAGAACATTTCTATAGATTGAGTGCAATAACAAGCTCAACAAGAAAAACGCCATCACTTTCCCCTTTATCAATACATCTGTTTACAAAAGACTTTTGAGAAGTTAACAGAGTTGTGCCATAAACAAATAGGTTGCACAGCCTCCACTCTTCCACTCTCACTCAACTTCCCACACATGGTACCTGAAAGCATGCACACTGAAGCTTGAAGTGGATTTAAAATGGTCCGATCCTGAGCTGGAAAAGATTTCGTCCAGGATGATTCTGTCTGGTTTGGCCTTCATGTCTCCTGGCTCTGCTTCATTCACTTGCTGAGGAGCGACGTCATGGCCATGATCGTCCAACACCTGCAAAGGAACCACAGCCAGAATCTGTTATGGTTTACTCTATTATCGAAAACCCTCAACAAGTGGTTTTTTGGAAAGATATACAGAAATGTATTTTCAGGAAAATTGGGCATTATGTAACAATTGCTGGGAAATACATTATAACTACAACTGAATGTGTTAATATTTTACAAATTTAAAAAAAGGAGGTCCCTACCAAATTATATTTTACCATTGAGACAGGAAGTCATAATTTAAGCAATACATCTGTCCTGTTTAAATCTCACCTTTACTCTCCTGGGGGCTTCCTCGGTGGTCTTCTCCAGGGTCCTGTGTCTCCTGTTGCTGCCACCGGCCATGATGGAACTTCTTCGGCTGTGTGAACCAGTGAAGCTCAACATGTGTCTTGAGCCTTGGCTGACAGGATGAAGTCCTGAGACTAACTTATGCATTGCTCGAGAAGATCTGGGAGAAAGTTAACACATCAACATAACAGGTTAGCATAGCCACCACCACTAGCTTAGTACATGTAGCTAAAAGCTAAGTGTTTAACCTGAGTTTAAACTAGCTAGCTTACACTGTGTGTTAAAAAAAACACCACCTGTGAACTTACGCGTTGGGCAACAGACTACTTTTCTTTTTTGTTTCCATAGTGCTTCTTTTAGTTTGTGTGAAAAACAAGTCTGCCTCTTTTATTAACTTAAAGGCTAGCTAACCGCGTATATTTTCGACCAATCTGTTAGCTCAAGCTTCCTTTGCTTTATGTTGCTATGGAAACATGACGACACTGCTGCCTGCACTGTCAGTTGGTCAGTAAGATTGAGGTTGGCTTCACATAGGTTGTTTTTATCATGTATATCCGTTTTTCACTCAACAGCAATGTTTTTTAATGTGAAACTGGCTGAGTTTGAGTTATACATACTGCTGTATACAGACAATCAGGAACTTTTGGAGCGTTGAAATATGCACATTTGTTTATTAAAGTTATCACAACTTCCGCACACATGCTCACTTCAGCGTTAATGAAGCGCTACTTTGTACATTTCAACACCTAAGATACTTTTACTAAAGTGCTGTATTTCTACATTCAGAATTGAAGTTCTTGAACATATTTGATAGCTGTAGCTAAACTTTACCAACGGTGACGTTACAGTAATATAGGATCTACTTGAATGCGTCACTAATTATAATCCAGCAAAGTATTGTGATTCCTAAATGGACAATTCTGCATAATGATAACTCAAAGTGAGCCTTATTTTGATTATAATGTTTAGAACAAGTCCTGATTGAGTTCTTGTAACAAAGTATTTCTAAACTACTTTATAGCATTGCTATGTTTGAAATACCTGAATTCCATCACTATGTGAGCATTAAATCACTTACATGCACTTTAAATACTGTATACAAATATTGTGAGGAACTGGCCTTCCAATTGAAATGTACTATTAGTATAAGATTCTTGTTAATGCATGGTAAAGCAGATTAAGGAATATCGCATGAAGCCCATTGTCCACTAGGTGGCATTAAAAGAGTGAGATACAGCTATAAGGACCACTGCAGTTTACCTGTACTACTATTGCAGTTATATTGCTACATCTGCAACAGCTTCTGCTGCCTGTGTTTCAGATATTTGACTAACTTGCCACAACTGAAACTAGTTATCAGTAACTTTAATCTTTAAACAAACTAGTAAAAGGTAAAACAGTTCCCTCTTAAATTGAATGAAGTAGAAGTATAAAGAAGCTAAACATGAACATTCTTACAGTACTTTAAAAAAGAATATTATTTGGGTCGCTATTATTCTCCACAAAGTGGTACATGTAGTCTTTCTCACGTCCACACCAAAAATAACAATCAAATCAATGCAATTTTTTTAATAGGCAACACAAAAATGTTGACTTGTATTATTCATTTAATTAATTGGGACACTACTATACAGATTCAAGGCTTTTATTGTCATTCGTACATAGCTACAGTGTCGATATGTCAATGAAAATCTTAGGTCACAGGCTCCTCCAACGGTGCAACATAATAAAACAGACAAAAATAGTTAAAATAGTGCAAGTAATACAAATGAAATAGAATAGAAATAGTGCAAGGTGAGTCTACAAGTAATTGGAATATGATATATAAGATAAATCATTTGTAAGTTGCGGACAGATGAATGTTATGGATGTCCTTTCAAAAGTTTACCATGTAATTTGCTCATAGGGTCTCAAAATACCATAATATTAGATGAAATGTTATTGTGTTAGATGTACATTAGTGTAATATTATGAACAGTGTAGTTTTTTTCTCATTTAATTTATACTGAAATCTATATTGTATATTGTTCAATGTTTTAGTTTATAATACTAAGTCTCTTTTATATTTTTTTGAAAAATGCATAGTCAATACACCTAGATATTCTGAATTAAAAAAAAGGTCAAACACTTCCGGGTTTAAGGACTACAATACTGTAATAAATCACGTGATCTGTGCATCAATTCTCCCCCTCCTCTTTCCCCCATCATCCCCCTCTGCAGCGAGCATCTCCCGGATCCCGGCCGAGTGTCAGTGCGCCTTTAAGAGCCCTATATCCCACTGTCCTCTGCACTAAACCTCCATCAGAGAGAAAAATGTCGGCCAGCTCCGCTTTCAACGATGAGAAGGGAGGCTCGTCCAGCGTCGGGGAGCCGGAATATGGACACGACCCGGCGAGCGGAGGGATCTTCTCCTCCGACTACAAAAGGTACAGAGCCACCTGGTGCAGCTTGACGCGGATTTAATTTTGTCGTGTTGTTGGGGGGGGGGGTACCGGTGCAGCTAATCGCGGGGGAGGTGCAGGGTGTGGGTGGTGTCCTGTACGTTAAAATGCATTTTTTATTGCAATATAAAACCCTCTCCAAGTGAACTTTGTTTGCTATTAGGCCCGTGATTTAAAATCGGTGTTTTTTTTCTGGTTAGTGAAGCTCTCACCGTGATTTCTTCGCCAGAGCAGAAGCGTCAAATGACAACCCAGCTCTGGTGTTGACTTTCAATACATGTGCATTCACTGGTGTGTCTTTAAAAGCGTTTACAGGTTTAGAGTTTGTATTTATTTGATGTTTTGTGAGGTGATATCTTATGAAAGGCCTGTCAGACTGGGTGCCAGGCCTCAGATCAGCACCACCCCTGCTGGACAGCGCGCAGAGCGGCAGCACAGCGTCACATTATACACATACACCCTATAGTAAATATAAAGACATACACCTCGTTTATTATGACCTGGAATAGGTTTTTAGTATCAGTCATGAGTAAGCAATAACATATAAGACCTTATTTAGTAATGATTCTATAAATAAATAAACATATGCATATACATGTGTTTGTGTGAGGATGGAGGAAATAATGGGGCTTGTGTCCTTGTTGTTATGCAGTTTTTCTGCCATGAGTACAAGCATACAAATACTAATATATATAATATGAATAATAATATTAAGTGTGTAAACTAAGGATTATGGTCATTATTCAATTAATATGCAGAATTGTTTAATTGTTTGGCCTATAGATGTCACAACATTTAAAAGTTCCCAAAGCCAAAGATTAGGCATACACTTTTATTGGTTTGTTTAGTCCAAAAAAAATAAGAATACTTTTGAACGCTCATATAGTGATCAATACTTAGGAGTTTAACACATACAGTATGATATTTCCACAATAAGATGGTATTCTCCTTGTTGATTTGTTGTTCTTTTCTTAACCCAAAGACGTTCAGTTTACTACCAAACAAGAAGGGAAAGTGTCCCTCGGTTTATCCATTTAGAAAACTTTAATCTCAATAAAAATGATAATCCAGTGATAAGACTGAAGTAAGTTTATTATAACATCAAACAGGAAGCCTGGTTATTCTCTCTCAATCTGAAACCCTCTTTTTGAAACTGTTAAACCTTCAAAATATGTCTTAAAATTCACCAAAACACTCTAACATCCATCAATGGCGAACCATATGAAACAAACAAGAAACATTAGTCCGTTTTAAGATAATCCTCACTGGCCAGAATACTGTTTCAGATTCATTTGTTTCTGAGGACATGACTGTATACCATGGGACCTTCGAGCATAAGCAAAAGAAGACAGTAAGATGCACTGATTAAAAATCACTATCATTTATCTGACCAATAATCCATGTTCAACATAAACCTGCTAAACCTAAACAAAATGCATCGACAGAATCGTCATCCTGCAGGAGAACTTGTCCTCACTCGTCCTGCTCGGGAACATATTGTTCTTTCCGATACATTTCTCTTTTTTTGGGGGGAAGGAGGATGGTACTCGATCTGAACAAGAGACAGTGCAAGAACTTATTTTCATATTCATACAACATCATACCTACAGTGACCAGCAGGAAGGTGGTCCTGGACATATTAATACTACTATGATTGATTAAGTTAATGAGGACGTCATGTTCTGCATTTAAAAGTAGAGTATGAAAGAGTCACTTGGTGTAAGTGGGGCTCTGCTGTGGCAGTAGTTATGGAAAATAATGGTATTTGATTAGATAATAAATGCCATGTATAATTTATGGGCTCCGTTGAGCACCCTATTCCCAGTAGAGTTTATTTCTGTCTTCTCTACAGCTAGCACAGACTACAGGATGTAAATATGGGTAGCGTCTTAGAAAGAATACATCTATATCAACTGGGTTCTCTTCAGTTATATTTGCCCTTTATTACCATGTGATGATATTAGGGATAACATCTGAGACATCAATTGGGCTGAGTATTAAAGTCCTTCCAGCCACCCAAAGTTAGACCTATTTAATGTATACATAGAGAGGCTGCTTCTCTGTGCATCTGTAGGCCTACTTTAAAGGTCCCCTATTATACTGTTTTTCATCAATATATTATAGTTCTCAGATATATACAAAACATGTCTCTGAAGTGTTTGGCTCCAAACACCAAACAGATCATTGCAGCATTACCCATAATCCCCTCTGTTTCAGCCCTGTTTCAAAAGTGCTGATTCTCTGTCTGTTACTTCAGATGAAAATAAGGAGCCCCTCCCCACGCCCCTCTGAGAGAGATTTGGTTACAAAGAACACAATGGAGCTCTAGGAGGAGATTCAGGTGATAAGGGGGGGGGGGGGGGGGGTTACCTTGGTTGCTGATTGGTTAATGGTTACACAAGCCAAAACATCGTATGACATCATAAAGTGGCCAAAATCTGATCAGCTCATTTTCAGACAGGTTTTTATATAAATGGATCAGGACAAAAAGAGAGAGAATCTTTGTTCCTGAAACTTTCAAAATCTTTTTACACAGAGGGGACACATGTTGATGTAGAAGAGACATGAAAAAGTGGATTTTGCATAATAGGTGAACTTTAAAGCTAATATTTTGACTTGACTTGTCAATTAAGCCATCGTATTTATTATTTACATCAGTGCTTTCCTTGTGAGACATGTCAAACTGTCTATTTTTAAATGGCTCGTTCATGGTACACTGGACCCCTATCTTCGAAAAAAGAAACAGCAGTACATTGTTCAAAACATTATGAATGAATCATGAGCACAAGCTTTTTCATGTTCTTTATAAGCCAAAATGTTCTTTTACTCTGTTTCAAGAGCGTCTCGGACAGCCATACAGCCACAGTCGGGCTTTTTGTTGTCGGCCTATGATGCTCACACACAGGTGAAACTAAGTTCATAAATGAAGTCTCAGGCTCGTTGTGTGTCCCTG